TTCTTGTGTTTTTTTTTTTTTGAAATTTGTTGAAAACTTTTTTATTCCTAAAGTATTGTATAAAAAACCATTGTCCTTATAAACAACGAATAATTTTTTTTTTGAAATTTTATAACTATTGAAGATTTTTAGCAAATTTAGAAAATCACATAACAAATTTTCGCATGAAATTTATAGTATGTGCTAACCTTAAATTATTTTTTTTGATGAATTGATAAAAATAATTTGGTCATTACTTTTACATAATTAGCAGGAAGTCCGTGCTACGCACGGTGTCATTAACGAAAAGAAATAAAATTACAATTTATTATTATATATTTTGTATATTTTAATTCGAAGTATTTTTTTAAAAAAAATTTTGATGTGTCTCTCTTTTCTATTTTATAAAAAGTAATTATATATTATATCAAAATACCTGTAATTTTTATTTAAATTACAAACATATTATTACACATACGTAAATTTAAAGGACAAAATTGTCAAAAACTCCACTAATCAATAAAATATTATTCCCTCAATCTTACATAATTTGTTCATTCTTTCTATTTTCGTTTGTCCCACATATATTTTGTTCTTTTCTTTTTTAAAAAAAATATAATTATACACTTTAATCATGTTTTATAATTTTTTTTATTCAAATCAAACTATTTAGTCATCTTAATTTTAATATATAATTATTTTTATTAAATTATAATTATTTTCATCAATACACTTATTTATATCACAACATAGAACTATTTTAATTTAATATATTTTATTATTAAAATCACAAAGCCAAAATTCAGATCCCAAACAAACATACTCCCTCCATCCCATTGGAAGAGTGACGTTGGTTTTTTGCACGTAGATTTTTTAATATTAGTATTTTATTGAATTATAGTAAAAATGATAAAAATACTCCTATTAGTATTATGTAATATAAAAGTAATGGCATTTGTGTAATAGATTGTAAGTTGAAACAAATAATTATTATGTTAAATAGATAGTACAATTACTAAATTAGGAAATGATAACCTTATTTTGGAACGGACGTAAATAGAAAATGGTAACCTTTCAATGAGATGGAGGGAATATAAAGTTCGGGAGTACAACTGTCAATCTTCCATCTATTGTACTAAATACATGTAAAATTCATTTCAAAATTTACATGAAAAAAAAAAAAATAAACCACTAAAAAATAGTGATATTTATATAATAATAATAAAATCAAAATTAATTTAAAATTACATTTATATATAATAATTATTCATTGTATGTAATCTTTCATATTTATATAAGTTATTATGCATTACTATATATAAATTTGCATTTTGATACAAAAATTTTAACTTGATATAATTTAGATAAAATGTAATAATATTATGTTTACAATCGCAATATTTTATTGTATATATAAGATGGAGTTGGTAGAGATAATATTTAGTTCAATTTGGTACCGTATCTTAAAACTCTACTTCCATGGTGGAGGGAATTTTATCATAATATACCATTTAATTTTTCAGAATAAAATGAATAAAATATAGTAGAAACTTAACAAACTGACGTTGAATGAAAAAATTTATTTCAAATATTCTAATAGCTAAAATATATGTAGGCAATTTTTCTTTTCCAACCCGTTCCTTTAAAATTTTGATTAAAATTATTAAACTCGAGTTTGAATTAAATTTAAATTTAAAAGAAATTTCATATATATATATTTTTTTTGTTATGAGAAATCTGAAATAAGAGTGTAAATTATAGATTAGCAAAAATAATTACAATTTTCCATTAAAATTAAAAATTTTCTTATACATTAGCAAATAAATAAATAAATAAATATATTGAAAATATTGATAATACATATTAACTACTTCACAATAATATATTAAAATAGTACATATATTTTTATTATATTCTATTTTTAATCTTTAAAAATATTTTCAAATTTAATATATCTTGATCAATTAAATTTAAATATATAAACTAATTATTCATATATATTATGTATATGTATGACATATATATACTATATGTATAAAAATAGTAAAAAAATACTGCATAAATAATTGCAACAATTATGAAAATTGCAAATATTATGTATAATTGGATAATAGAAATGATTTTTTCAAAAAAAATTATACTATTAACTAAAATCTTGAATATATTATACATAAGAATAAATAGATAATAATAATAATAATAGATAAAAGTAAATATTTACATTTAATATATTCAAACAAATATATATACACATTAAGAAAATATATTAGCACATAAATATACAACCACCAATTAAAAGAACATATTTATCAATAAACAACACATCCAAACTACACTTCAACAAATTTTAAACAAAACAAGTGGAATTCTGAAGCATTGGTTAGAAGCTGAAACAGATCAACTTGTCCCAATTTTAACGAATATTAAACCACAACAAAACAAAAGCTTCAGCCATTAACTCTAGCATTATCACATAGACTTCACTATCATCTCCAACGGCAGACATCTTCAGCTTCGAATGCAGCAAAGAGAAAAAAATGTTTAAGCCCGACCACTGCCATTGTTCGCATTTGCCGGAGGAGGATCAAACTCGATTCTAATGGACACCAGATTGGCTGCTATACGAGGAAGCTACCGCGCTAGTCACTGCAAAGTTGGACATTGGAATTGCGGACGCTACTTCAAGTTTCTTTGACGAAAGGTGAGGCAGATGACGGATATAGTTATGGTTAAAAAAAATAAAATTATATTGAGGATAAGAAAAAATAAAAGAGATAAATGCTCAAATAAAAATTTTCCATTATGTATTAAATTTATAGGAGTTGAAAATTTTAAATATATTATATTTTCATAATTATTATGCATAAACGTTTAAATTATCAAGAAAATTGTAATTATTAAAATGACAGTACAAACCTTTAATATACTAAGACAATTTCTTTTTTCATTTCCAAAAAAACAATTGAAAACTCCAATATAGCAACCATTTAATTTATTAATATTAAAATATTATTTAAAGATAATATATAGAAGATTATTAAAATGAAACAAAATGATGTATTTATATAAATAACAGTTTGGTTTGTTTTTTTTTTTTTTCAATTTTATTTTTTTTAAAATAATATATAGAACACAAAAAATAATTTAAAATTAAAAAAATTTATATAACCATTAATAAAATTATTTAAATTATATTTTTATAAATATAAATATATATCACAAATGATAAAATCATATAAATACTATTGTTAGCTCTTGTACAAATATATAAAGATATTGATAAAATTATTTCATAAAATAATTAAAAATTATATAATTATTAAAATGAAAAAAAAATTGTGTATATAGCCATTAATTAAAAGAATATTTCAGTTATATTTAAATTCTAATTTATAAATATACATTATAATTAATTATTTTATTATGTAATAAAATTAAATAAGCAAATTTAAAACTAAAATTGTATGTATAATCCAATAAAATAAGAAAAAACACACAAAATCACATATATATTTAAAATATTGTTACATTTGCTTTTATATCCGATGGACCACAGTGAGCTCAAATATAATTACATGTGTCCTTGGAGCTTAAACCAATTTTTTTCTAATTCATACTACCTCCGTCTGCTTCTAAGAGATTTATTTACTTTTTGCGTATTGATTTTTAAATATTAATTATTATAATACTAATAAAAAATATTTGCACAAAAAATAATACAAAAATATAAAAATATTTTTAATGTTAATTATAATGACGCAAAAAATAAATGTGATTTTTAGAAGCAGATAGAAAGAGTATATTTGTTTGCTAACATTATTAAAGTAATGCAACCAAGCCATCTCGGATATTTGTAGGGGCCTGAGCAAAAAATAAAAATAGGCCCCTGTAATTTTTATTTTTTATTTTTTAAAAATAAATATAATAATAAATTTTATAAAAAAAAATTATATTCATCATATATATATATAATAAATAAAATATATGTATCTAGTAAGGAATGACTTGCTGTTGTGGGTGGACTGCAGATCCTAATTTGTGATACATATCTTGACTATTATAAAACTATAATTGGATTTGAGATTAATTTTATAAAAATTATTGTCAGAGTTTATTAGAACTCTTGGATTGAGTAATTGTAAATAAAAATATGAGATAAAATTTAAATTAAATTTTAATATCGAATAATAATAGTAAACATTAATAAAAATATTTAAAAATTCTAATTGCTAGGAAGATGATATTATTTTAAAAATTCTAATTATAATTTAATTCTAAAATTAAAATTTAATTGGATATTGTCAGACAAAAATATGAGATAAAATTTAATTAAATTTAAATTTAATTAAATTTTAATATGTATAATAATAATAAACTAAAATTTTAAAATATGACCCTTCTAAAGGAGAGGCCGTGAGCAGTTGCTCAGGTTGCTCCTGCTAAGAGCCAGCTGTGAATGCAACGATTACTTGCATGTCATGTGATAACTATGCTACCGGGGGTGTGCTTGTTTTGTGTTTTGACTTGAAAGAATATATATATTTTTTATATAAAATATAGAGAATTGTGCAAATAATATTTCATTTGTCTAGTTAGAAAGTATATATATTTTTATTTGGGACGTTCAATTATAAAATATAAATTATTAATTTTTTTTACAAATACCCTTACTTTACATCACTTTTAAAAAAAAAAAACAAAGATAAAAATATCATTTTATTATTTTTAACTACCCATTATAATTAAAATATTATTATTTTTTAAACACCAAGTAAATATTTACTTTGTGTGCTAAGGGAGGGAGTATATTAATTTTTGAAAAAAATGTATTAGAAATTTTTGAGTAAAAAAACAAAACCTAGGTGTATTTTTCAATCGTAAACCAATATTTTATTTATTTTTTAGCGGGCAATACCCTACCCGATTTGTGCATTTTCCTTTTGATAGTTGACATGACTGATTGGGTAGACTTTTATTTAACCAGAGTTTTTTTGGTTTAACCAGAGTTAACCATTAGAGTTAAGGAGGCGATGTCAGAGTGTATACGCGGTGAACTTACGGTTGGCCAAAACCAGACCCACCCTGGTTGTTGAAGATTCAGAGGTCGAACCTCCGTTCCCAGGCCACCTCTGGCAGCGCGACAGCCGCCGCTACCTGCACCGTATTAGCTTGGGTTCTGCCAAAATCGATAGTATTGTTCGTTTATAACCTTCGTTGTTTTTCCTGTTGATTTTGATTTACTATTTGAGATGGCGTGAGACGATTAGGTCATGAGTAAAATTTGATGGAATAGGAGCGTTGGAATTTGGCATGTTTATATTTGATAATTAAACTAGGTTTACTACCATAAGGCAATTGTCGTTGTCCTTGAATTTTATTTTATCTACATGAAAATTTTGATTGGGCGATTGATTTCTCCTATTGGTTTGTTTCCCTGTGTGTTTTGTTTTTACCTTACTTCAGTTCAGCTTCCCCAATTCGATAATTGATTTCGTAAACAATTTGTTCGCAATGTAAAGGTTGCGATTTGTTCGTTTTTTTGCTTTGAAGGTAGGTGATTTCTTCATTGTATTATGGAAGGTGTAATGTGAGCCTCTAATATGTAGTATTGGAGTGGGTTAATGTATATGTGTTTTTAGCAGTAATGCTTATACTCATCATTGCTCTTGAATGTACATCTTTTTGGTTTGAATTTTATTTCCTACTTTAGGTTCCAAACGTTGTCTCTTAGCCCTTTTTTAACCAAATAATTTGGGGTGCACAAAATCTCTAAACTAGCCTCGCCTATTTGCAAATTATAAGGCTTGAATCTCAATAGACTTCAAAATCTTTAACTTTCCATTTCTTGTCTTGGCACAATACTTGGCCTTGGTTTCTTTTTAATCTACATTATTGGATCAACAATCTATTCACTTTATCCCATAATCCGCCTATTGATTTGAGATATTTGATTGTTTTCTGTTTCTTCTCAGCTGCATTCCTCTTGTAGCATGGCAACAAGTAAGTACCTCTTGCAGTTGTTGTTCGATGTACGGGTGTGTGTTTATATCAAGTACAACATTAATCAATTATACAGACAAAGATCCCATTTGTTTTTATTTTGTTGTGCAGGATTACAATTCGAGAATAATAATGATATTGGGGTTTTTGCTAAACTCACCAATGCTTATTGTTTAGTTTCAATTGGTGGTTCTGAGAACTTCTACAGGTATTATTTTGAGCATACTTATGTTTTTATAGTTGTGTAGTTTTTATTAGTATCAAATTTTGTAGCACCTGGGAAATTTACTATATATAATTTTGTTGCTTCCATGCAGCACTTTTGAGGCTGAGTTAGCCGATGTGATTCCAGTTGTCAAAACCTCCATCTCTGGCACTAGAATCATTGGACGGCTCTGTGCTGGTACAGTTCTGCTCTTTTATATGACACAATGCGGTGGTTATATACTTACTATTGAAATGCTGGATTGAATTTGTTTTCTCCTTGATGGTTTACTCCCAATCCATTAACTTATTTCCAGGAAACAAGAATGGCTTGCTTTTGCCTCACAACACTACTGATCAAGGTAATGATCCTAAGCTGCATTTCAGAACACCTATGAAAGTGGTGGATAAACTTATGTATATTTAACTCTGAGTTATTACTATTAACAATTACTGAATATTGTATGCCCATGTTAATACAAACTCTTGGAATTATGTTCTGTTAATTGATGGCCTTCTTTTGGCTGGTCATGTGCTATGATTCTTGGTTTTCTTTCCATTCTGATTTGGAAACATTGAATTATAGTTTGGGATTGAACAAGACTTGTTGAACTTTTGAGATTATGATTAGATTGTGCTAAATGTTGGAAATATTAATAATGATATATCTGCCTATTACTGTAGACTTTTAGGTAAGGTTGTCATTTCACATGGGAAGTTTCGTGTTCGAATTGCATTGTCACCCACTAATGAAAAAGGAGTTATCTACTAAGGCCTTGTGGAGAAGTAATACCACCTACACATGAGGAAATGTGATGGAAATATTAATATTAAAAGTAAAATGATGTATCTCTCTATTAGCTTAAGCTTTAGGTGATGTGTTATCAACATTAATGTTGCTAAAATTTTCTTTCTTTATTTTCTGCATCCTAGTATATTGAATATGATGCAACAATCTGGAATGGTACACCTGTTAAGGGCAAGGGCAAGCACAATACAATGTTACACTCAGCAGTATATTTCCATCTTGGCTGTATAATTTTTACTTGAAATTTTAGTGATGTAAACTTTTTGTCGTATTTGTTGTCTCTTGTACTTGACCATATATTTTCTTTTGTTAAAATAGAATTACAACACTTGAGGAGCAGTTTACCAGATTCAGTTGTTGTTCAGCGCATTGATGAGAGATTATCTGCTCTGGGGAACTGCATTGCATGCAATGACCATGTAGCTCTGACTCATCCTGATTTGGACAAGGTAAATGGTCTATTGATTGTTGAACTGCATCCAGTATATATCTGATGAATGAATGTAATTTTTGTTTCTGATCTACCTCTTGAATGAATGAATATGTTTTAGTTATTTAAACTTCTTTTTCCTTATGACCACTTTTACTTGTTAGCCCTGTGAGCTGCTTTAACCATGTTCATATTCAATTTTTAAGATCTATTGAGAAATCCTGCATCCTTTATCACTCTATCTTTACAATTGCCGGTCTGTTAATCTTAGTTCTGCATGTACACCATCCTTCTGTTAATATGCATCGTTGGCTAACAAGATTAAGCTAATTCCCTTGTGAAATGTGAACATGATGTATCTGTCTTTTGATATGGCAACTTCTGTATGCCTAGTTGTTCGTATGACCTAAAGAGATACATCTCCCATGTCATGTTCCATCCACAATATGCTTTCTTCATCAAACTGTGTGGTGCACTGCTGCCTTTATTCCTTTGTTATTGTGAAACTCGGTCATCGATGGCAAATTTCTTGATGAACTGTTACATGCATATAGGTCCTAGATTTTATGTTTTTATGCGATCTTGCTGATTATTTCCAGCACTCGAGCAATTCTAATAGCTACATACAGGTCCAGTACTGCATTGATTATGTTAAAAACTCTGTCTGATCAGAATATCTGCTTCCTCGTTATTAAGATATTAGAAAGACAACCATGAGTGTTCAGTTGTTCATGACAGTATATCTGCAACATTCAGAGATTGGCTTATCATGAGCTGTAACTGTTTCCTAATTTTTCTCTGTAATACAGCACTTATATATATATATATAAATAAATAAATAAATGGAAGCATTGAAGTTGCTAATCCTGAGGGTATGTTTTCAGGAAACTGAGGATTTGATAGCCGATGTTCTTGGCGTGGAAGTTTTCAGACAGACAATTGCTGGCAATATACTCGTAGGAAGTTTCTGCGCATTGTCCAATCGTGGTGGTTTGGTAAGCCACTGGTTCTCTGGTCTAGAAACCATTCATCTGCTAGTTTCATATCTAAATTCCTCCATCATCTATGTTGCAGGTTCATCCTCACACTTCTATAGAGGATCTAGACGAGCTTTCGACCCTCCTCCAGGTCCCTCTCGTGGCCGGGACTATAAATCGTGGTAGCGAAGTGATTGCTGCAGGCTTGACAGTAAACGACTGGACGGCATTCTGCGGATCAGACACCACTGCCACTGAGCTATCGGTAATTGAAAATGTGTTTAAGTTGAGAGAAGCCCAACCCAGTGCCATTTCCGATGAAATGAGAAAATCGTTGATAGACAGCATCGTTTGAGCTTAAGCCTTGAAGCTGTATCGAAGTTTGTCACAATTCACAGCTCTGTGTGTGAATGAAGTGAAGCTGTGGCATCTCCCAGTGGATGATTTCATATCATTCCTTATCTATGGCCATTTCTTTTTGGTTTTTGCTTATGCTATTAATAGTTGAGCAGATTCTATACATTACAGTGCCTAAATTTAATATTGTGCAATTAGTTTTATACTATTGTGTGAATATTAAAAGCGTTTGAAAGCTAGGTTTGTCAATTATGTGGATTTTATAAGCATTTGAAAGAGGTTTGTCATATGAGTTTGGTGTTTTTATGATTGTTAGATGAGATGTTTATAATAGGGAATAATCTAAATATCTAAATATTAATTTTTACATAAATTATGAAAGTATTAAAATTAAGGGTTTTTTAGCATACTGTCTATTTAGGTGTGTTTTTATTTATGAGTTTTGGAATAAGTTTGATTTGAGTTTGATACGAAAATCATGTTTGATGGGATATTTTTTAGAGGAAAAAATATATTTAATCAGAATTCAAACAGTAAAATTTAAAAAAATTATGCAAAAAAAAAAAAAACATACTAGTTTATAGGATTTGTTTGATTTTGGTTTTGTAACTAAAATTGTACTATTATTTATTCGATAAAAAAATATATTGTGTTCAGTTTAAATATTATTAATTTTATAAAATATTATATCAAAATTATATTTAAATAAAATCTAACTACTCTTTGCACAATATTTTTTAAAGTTTTATATTATTTAATTTTTTTTAAAAATATCATATAAATATATCTTTTCAGGTATTAACATGATATTTTATGTCATATTTTAAAAAAAATTAAGGGTTACAATTAATTGATTTGAAATAAACTATTAATTTCAATTTTTTATTTAAATAATATTATGATGTAATATTTTGTAAAAAAAAATAATAAATTTTATTGAAAATTGTAAAGAAAAAATAGTATGTAAAAAAAAAAGAAAAAGAAAAAAAAGCCTAAATAACACCAAAAATTTCGAAATATAGCATAAACAAAACTTATAATTTGGTATATTAATATAATTAAAATTTATTAAAATACAAAATAAATAAAGTGCAGTATGCTAAACCCTAGCGCCAGATTCATTTCGGTTCCATTTTCAATCTCCACCCTTTCCCTTCTCCCTCGCCTCGCTCTCCTTTCTCACACTCGTAATCTTCTAATTGTATGTATCTATCTCCTCGCCGCCTGCAACCTCCTCCCTTCTCTTCTCTCCACTAAGGTAATTCTCATCTACATCGATCTTCTTATCTCGCTGACTTTTTTCATTCTGGATCCTGCTTTGGATGATCGCTATTTTAAGTCTTACTAACTGTCGGGATTTTCGCTGGATTTACAACTCAATGGCGACCTGATTATTTTGAGCTGCATTTCATCGTTTGTTGACTCAATTCTTTATAATTTAATGACAGAAGTGAAGTTTCAGCTTCAGGCGGTCCGGTCTCCTTAAGATGATATATATTTTCCGACACGATTAGAAAAATGCTGAGAAGAAGATTAGCCTCAATCCTACCTGCGTCCATTCGCATTGCGCAGAATCACTTCCAAAAACCCACCCCTACGTTTCCCCATCTCGCGCCTCTACAGTTCCTTCCGCTGCAATTCCAGCAATGCAGGGCTGACATTTCGAATCCATGGAGTGTGAGGGCTTACAGCAGCCTACTGGCGTTGAATGATTTGAGGGACAATCCGGGTTCCCGGAAGCAGAAGACTCGGAAGGGTAGGGGTATCGGGTCGGGTAAGGGGAAGACCGCCGGCCGGGGGCATAAGGGCCAGAAAGCCCGCGGTACAATGAAGTTTGGCTTTGAAGGTGGGCAGACGCCGCTCAGGCGACGCCTCCCCAAACGAGGATTCAAGAATCCCTTTAGTCTCACGTTTCAGGTCTTGTTGGAGCTCACAAAACGCTTGCATCAATAAGTTCATTTTTCTTCTTTATTTATTTGTTATTTTTATTTGCTGAGTTTAGTTATGCTATTTGTTGGCTGGAATTGTGTTCTTGCAATGTGTTTTAAGATTATGCTATAGATATGCTGTTGATTTGTTACTTGTTAATTCAATTAAGTGTTAATGAACTCCTTTACTGTAAAAATATGGCTTATAATCTCAATATTGCTAGTAAGCTTTACATTACTGATTTCTTGAACTTTTTGCTTCGGCTAATTTGATCATTGGTTTTGTGTTGCCTTTCTCTTCCACATTGCCAATACTATTAATCTGAAGATGATTCCATCTTTGTGTAACCATTATGTATTTGTGATCTATGTCGTTCTTAAGGTAGCAACTCTTTTTGTTTCTGTGTCATTGTGATTACTTAGTAACCTACAGCATAGTTGTTCATCTTTCAAAGTGCGGAGGCGTGACTAGAGCTGCAAAATAATTCATGCTTGGCTCATGACAATATTTTCTTGGCTGATTAGGTCATGAACCGGTTCAGCTTGTTATGTAGATATATGTATATTGGTTATTAATGTTTTTATTACTTACTTTTAGAATAAGCAATCAATTAATATAAAATTTTAGCACGATCTTGAGTTCGTTATATTTTGAGTTGATTGTGATTTGTTTACACTACAGTTTTTGATTTGTCATGTTTTGCAGCCCTATTTGTGACTATATACAAGCTTGTTCTTCCTGATTCATTATGCATAATTATATTCTATGACACTTTTTATTGTGGCATTCACTCTAACTGTACATGGTTTGCAGCCAGTTGGCTTGGGAAAAATTGCAAAGCTAATAAATGCTGGGAAAATTGACTCTTCAGAATTGATCACCATGAAAACTCTCAAGGTACATCCATCACCTTCTCATGCGACTCCTTGCATGTGTACTCCAAGTATTCTTACCTCCAAACCTTGTTTTCCTGGAAAAAAAAAAAAAAAGGACTCTGGGGCAATTGGAAAGCAGATTGAAGATGGAGTTCGGCTGATGGGACGAGGTGCAGAACACATTCAATGGCCCATCCATCTTGAGGTAACACCATCATACCGCCTCCCTATGCTACACGCTTTGCTATGGCCAGTTTCAAGAGTCTCTATATTTAATCAGGTTTCTAGGGTGACGGTCAGGGCAAAAGCAGCAGTTGAAGCTGCTGGTGGATCTGTAAGAAGGGTGCATTACAACAAATTGGGCTTGCGTGCACTCCTGAAACCTGAGTGGTTTGAGAAGAAGGGCAGGCTACTTCCAAAAGCCGCAAGGCCCCCACCTAAAATCAAAGACAAGGTCGATAGCATTGGCCGTCTTCCTGCTCCAACAAAGCCCATACCTTTACTAGCCGAAGAAAAAGAAGCAATGGCTGATTCCAGTCCATGAATGAGACTAACCACAAGGCTGTAAAGCCAGATCTTATTTACTTTCTTCTGCATGCTTTGCTCAAAGAAGAATCGGAATTTCTTGTTCTGTTTAGTTTGTCTCTGAATGCAAATTTGCGTTAGAACAGGAATTTTTTTGATAGTGTTGTGCTGCTTCTGAACTACTTGAAATAAATCTTTTTCTTGCAATATAAAATATGTTCTTGTCTATTAAGTATCTGCAGTTTTATTCTGTTTTAGTTATGACGAATTACTATAGACTTCAAAATCTTTTACTTTCCATTCCCATTTTAGCTTGATATTTCTAATTTCACTGTTGGCTTGACTTCTCTTTGATTTACATTGCCGGATCATAAAATTGTTCTCCTAATCCATCAAATGACAAATCTGGCTTTTGATTTGAAGTATTTGACTGTTTCCTGCTTCCTCTCAGCTGCGTTCCTGTTTTTACATGGTATCAGGTAAGTTCCTCATCCAGTTCTTGTTCAATGTATGCTTGTGTTTTTTATTTTTTATTAATTATAGCCTTAATCAATTAGTAGAGACAAGAAATTCTCTGTGGTTTGATTTGTTGGGCAGGATTACAATTCAAGAATAATAATGTTACTCCATTTTTATCTAAAGTCACCAATGCATATTATCTAGCTACAATTGGTGGTTCCAAGAACTTCTACAGGTATTATTATCAGCATGCTTATGTTCTTATAGTTGTGTAGTTTTTATTATAAAATCTTGTGGCAGATGTACTTTAGTTTCAAATTTTATTGTTTTCATTCAGCACATTTTAGGCTAAACTGGCTGATGTCCATTTCTGGCACTAAAATAATTGGACAACTCTATGCTGGTCAAGTTCTGGTAGGATATGGTGTGTATTTTTTATGTGCTGCAGCCTTTGTACTCTCTTGTGTAAATGCAGTTTGTTCTCAATAGCTTATTACTTTTCAGGAAACAAGAATGGTCACTTTTGCCTCATGACACTGCTGATCAAGGTGATGATCCCCTACACCATGTTTAAAGCAATAAACTTATTCTTGTAGATTGTAATATATTAAAGCAATAAAATTATTCTTATTATTTTTTTCTTTTTTGTTTTTATTATTTGAATTGTTATGAAATAAATAACTTAATAAAATACTAATTTAAAATGTAAAGAGCAAATTTTGATATACTAATACTTTTATTATATATTGGTAATCTTATTGAAAAAAATTGATGAAGAAACTAAATACATAAAAATACAAATACTTTGTATTAAATTACTGACTTTTGTAAGAACTTATTCTTTTACTATTTTAAATCAAAATATAAAAATATTACTTTACTTATTTTTCAATAAAATTATACTATGTTTCATGTTAAAATACTATTTCAATCCGTCCCAATTTAAGTACTATTTTTATTTATTTTCGTTGGTCTCATTTTAAAATACAATCATATGTTAATACCAAAGTAGAACAAAAATGTCAAAATCCTTTGTCCATTTATTGACCAATAAAATATTTTCTTGATTAATAAAATAATATTATTTTTTAATTTATTACAAAGATTCATTTAGAGTGAGATTAAAAAAATATTTAAATGAAAATTTGGGAAAAAATCAATTTTGGTCCAAATATAACAAAATTTTATCAATTTTAGTTCCAATATAAAAACTCATCAATTTTAGTCTCATTATAAATAATTTCGATCAATTTTGGTCCTACTATAGATTTTTTTCTATTGAGACCAGACCAAAATTAATTTTTACCCAAAAAATTCAAATCCAACACAACAACATAAATCAATTTCAATCAACACCTGAATATATGCTAAATTTTGTACTATTATCTTTTGTAGTAATATACATATCTATACTTGTTCCTATTACTCCCTTCTTATCAGAAGTAAGTACCATTTGTTTTTAACGTAATTTTAGAAATATTAGTATTATATTAGGATATAGTAAGAATAAATTAGAAATGACTAAAATAACCTTATTAATATATATATATATGTGATAGAAAGGTAACGATATTTGTGCAATATATTGTAAGTTGTAAGAGTATTTGTAATGTTAGATAGATAATACAATTACTAAAAAAAATGAAATGGATATTTTATTATGCGACAGACTAAAATAGAAAAATGGATACTTTGTTATATGACCGATAGTATTTTATTTGTTAAAAGTTTTAATTTCTTAATCCTTTGGATGATAATTAATTTTACTATTATTATTTTAAATATTTATATATAAATCCTATTTTTAAGATATAAATAGAAAACAACATAATTTTTTTGATCTTTAATTAAAATATGCAATATATATAAAAATACTAAACCCTAGCCCGGAATACATTTCATTGGAGTCCGTTTTATTTTGAGTCCGTTGTTCCTCGTCTCCACCGGACACCGCCTCCCTCTCCTCCCCCGCCGTGTCTTCCTCTTCCACTGCCTTTATCGTCTTTCTCTTTGACCTTCGCTGTCCTTCTCTATTCAGCTTCGTCGTCGTCTTCCTAGACCAGCTGCATTTCCATGGAGTGCGCCATGTTTGTGACGGCCCCTCAATTTTCGCCGCGCTTTCGACTAAATTCATCAAAATTCAGACCTTTTACCATCAATTGCTCCTCCGTTCCTCTGTCTGTCTCCGGAAATTCACCAGTTGGTACGTGTGTTGATTCATGTTTGTTAGCGTATAACTGTTTGTGGAATTGTGGGTTGGTGGGGAAATAATTTGTACTTGTTATTTTATTAATAAATGTACTGTGGAATTCTGTGGTTGGATTTTAATATTATTATTTTCGTGGAATGTTCTGTGGCAAAACTGTGTTTTTAGGATCGTTGGAAAGGCCGTGGAAAGTGGCGGATGCGAGGCTTGTGCTGGAGGACGGTTCTATTTGGCGGGCAAAATCTTTTGGTGCCTCTGGAACTCAAGTTGGTGAAGTGGTTTTTAATACATCATTGACAGGGTAGGTCGATTTACATTTTTGTCTAGAATTTATTTTTTTCCCTTTTCCGTTGTCGCATCATAAATTTGTTAATCTATTTGATACACCATTCTTCTGTTGATGTCAAGGGATATACAATTGGACATAGTTGAAAGTTAACAAATTTGATGCTGTAAACTTGCAAAAAGTTACCAGCAATTTATCCTCTTGTATACATAGATGAATATCTTATTACTAATTTGGGTGTTGATTCCCGAAGAAGTTTTTTCTAATCTAATTCTGTTATTCTACCCCACAAAAATGATGAATGTTTATCAAACCTTTGTATATTCACTAGGAATTTACAAAAAGGTATTGTCGTGGAGGTATATATATATATATATATAAATATACATTTCTTTTGTATTGCAGGTACCAAGAGATCCTTACGGATCCTAGTTATGCCGGGCAGTTTGTGCTTATGACCAATCCACATATTGGTAACACTGGCGTCAATTTTGGTAGGTAGATTGGTTTGCATCAATCTTGAAGACAATGTTTTGAAATGAACCTCACTTGGTTTTCTTTCCTCGGCAGATGATGAAGAATCGAGGCAATGCTTTCTAGCAGGATTGGTTATAAGAAGTTTAAGTATTAGGTTTTCCCTTCAGGGCTAGTTATATATTTTGCAAACCATGGGTGCTTTTATGACCTTCACCTCTTTTAATGTATCTTTATGCTTAATTTACTACAGTACATCAAATTGGAGATGCAAAGAAGAGCTTGGAGATTATTTGGCATCAAGGAACATTATGGGAATATGTACATTGTTAATTCAAACTCAGTCTTGGTTTGGATCTAATATGCACCACGTGCCAATTGGTTTGAGATTTCCATGTGCCATACTGCAGATGATGTCGATACTCGTGCTATTACCCGTAGATTGAGGGAAGATGGCAGCCTCATTGGAGTCTTGAGCACAGAAGAATCCAAATCAGATGAAGAACTTCTTAAAATGTCTCAAACTTGGGACATTGTAGGTAATTTTTCTCTACCTATATTTCTCATGGATGATTTATGTCACTATGGCCTGATTAACACAACCTTGAGACTCATTTTTGCAGGTGTAGATTTGATAAGTGGTGTCTCATGCAAGGAGCCTTACGCATGGGTTGATAGAACAAATTCGGAGTGGGATTTCAACTCCAATGGGAGAGATGGAGAGACCTTCCAAGTTAGTGTATCACATGTTTGCAATGATTAATGTAAATAAAAATGCCTACAACACTGGAGTAAGTTGTCCATTTTGTATATGAAGGTTGTCGCATACGACTTTGGTATCAAGCAAAATATACTCCGCCGCCTGGCATCCTATGGCTGTAAAATCGTAGTGGTTCCCTCAACATGGCCTGCATCTGAAGTTCTAAAGATGAAACCGGATGGTGTATTGTTTAGCAATGGGCCAGGAGATCCCTCAGCAGTTCCATATGCTGTTGAAACGGTCAAGGAAATAATTGGAAAAATTCCTGTTTTTGGTATCTGCATGGGCCACCAATTACTCGGTCAAGCACTGGGAGGTAAAACATTTAAGATGAAATTTGGTCATCATGGAGGAAACCATCCTGTTCGGAATATTCGAAATGGGCGAGTTGAGATTAGTGCTCAGGTTTGTTCAATCACTTAATACATTATTTTAGCAATGCACGCACACACACACACACATATATATATATTAGCATGCACACACACACACACACATATATATGTGTCGAATGAGATATCACTATGAGCTCGCTGATTCATTGTTTTAGCAATGCACATATATATATATGTATCGAATGAGATATCACTATGAGCTCGCTGCTTTTGTGTGTGTATGAGTTCTTGAAATTGTTGAACTTAAGATGAGAATTTACTCTGGAATGTGTACCTGTGGTCTGTACTGCTACTTTCCCTTCTTTCAGTGTTTTAACTAATAGATTCTTATTTTGATATCAATTTCACTTAAATGTCTTCTGCAGAATCATAATTATGCTGTCGATCCTAAATCACTTCCTGATGGTGTGGAGGTAACTCATATTAACCTCAATGATGGAAGCTGCGCTGGGCTTTCTTTCCCTGAACAGAAGCTTATGTCTCTTCAATACCATCCCGAAGCTTCTCCTGGACCCCATGATTCTGATCTTGGTATGTGATTTGGTTTTCTTGAACTAGCTTTTCTAATTAACATTGATCTTATATTTGGCATATGAGTATTTGGCAACATTTGGCCTCAACATTTCCTTCAAAATCTTAATACTAAAATAATATCATTTCACTGGAGCAACATTATTCATTTGTTAGCTGTGAATAGAGTGAGATTTGGATCACCATTGGCCTTCTTGTGAGCATACTTAAATTTTCCTTCCTATGTTCTTGGTTTGATTCAATTTAACAATAAGGAGTGACGTATCACAACTATTTTTACAATTTCTAAGATGTGAAAAGTCCTAGCTAATTTATTACATCGGAGCAATTCTTTAAAATGTATCTTATATGCTCCTTATTAGTTCTTAGTTCTAACAAAACAATTTTGTTGCAGTATTTGCTGACTTTGTACAACTAATGAGGCAAGAAAAACAGAAAAAACAATGAGGTCGATTATGATTTACTGTCCACAAGCACCGGAGCTCTGAGGGTTGGAATTGGTTGCTGTAATGGCTCATAAACAAGGCCGATGACATTCAATCCTCATAGTATGTTCGGTATTCCTTCCTCTTTCACAGGCTTGTTTTGTTGTGCCATCATAACATTGAAATGGTTTGTTTACTCGTCTAGTTTAATTTGCCTACCTTATCAGGATCTGGACACCATTTGCTTCATTATAAAATAAGATTTGTTCGATTATTGCATAACACAAAGCTATGAAATGACGCTCTTTGATATAGGAATATTGTCTCTATTTGCTTTAGAAAATGCTTGTTACACATTCTACTTTGTTAGCTGATTCAATTCGCTTCCCTTCGGTTTGTAAAGAACCATAAGCATCTCAGGGCTGATTTCATCTGTTTATTTATGTTATTAAAAGTAGAATAATATTTTGTTGGGGTATTTGTTTAGTCAGTAACATTATACAGTATGTTCCTACAATAGAATAATACGCTACTTTATAGAAAATTAACTAAGATAGGAATAGGATGTATGATTGAGAGAAAGTGGAAGAGAGAGAGAGAGAGAGAGAGGGATTTGATGGAAGTAGCTATCATTAGTACAATTAACCAATCATTCATTCATATGCTGCTATGATTGTGTGTACGGACAGATTCATGGGATTACGATCTGGTTGATATGTGTGTTTTATTGTTAAGTGGTTTCCTTCTCACACTCCACTCTTTCCTTAATTTTGATTTAACACCTCTCCCTCTCTCTCCTCTTTTGTCAAATTGAGGTTGGACGTGGGAATCTCCATTGAGGTTGATTTGTTTGGGGATTTGGGTGGTTTTTGTTTAAGTAATACTTCCTCATCCCCGCTCAATAAGTTTACATTTATCTTTTGCGTTTTTGAATTTAGCATTAGAAATATCATATATAAATGTCATTATATTTGTATTATAAGATACTAATAGAAGTATCTTCGTCTTTTTTCTTTGATTTGTACTATATTTTGCAAAAGAACAAATGTAAACTTTTAAAGTTGACGGAGTTAGTAATCATTTTGTTATATTTTTACTTATCTAACTATTATTTATTCTTAATATACTTATAATATTTTATTTTACTTGTGTTCGTTTTATATTTTTGGATGAAAAATATGTGGACTTTTTATGAGTAAACAGAGGATATATATTGTATTAATATGTATATATTATTATTATTTTTTTATAATATTTATGGAGAATCATTCCTAAAAATTAAATTTGGTGAACAAATCCTTTGTATTTTTATTTTTATATTAAAATATTATTATTTTTTAGTATTTATTGAATATATAAAATTTTGAATATTAATCAAGAGAGTGTTGAGTAGTAATAGAGTTGTTAAATGAGGCTCTAGTATATGTTATTTGAGCTTGAATCGAACCTATTACTGGTATAGGTTCAGTTAGATCTGTTTTTAGAATTTGAGTTAAAATAATGTCTTAGTTCTTAGGTTGGCTTGTTAGATATGATCTCAGACTTGAGTTCAACTAGCAAGCTATAATTATATATATATATATATATTATAGTATATTTATATTAGAAAAAATAGGAAAAATAATATGGTTTTTTTTTTTTTTTTTTTTGTAATGACAAAATGAGTAGTAATCAAATTTTATAAATAAATACTCCCCCAAAATTGCAGATTTTAATATGGGTGTCTATTTATTTATTTATTTTTATAGTACTTTCTTCTCAATTTTATACCAATTTTTTATTTTTGTAATTTTAAAAAATAAAAGAAATGATACATTTTTTTATTAAATTATAAAATTAAAATATTTATAAAAGTAAAAAAAAAAAACATATTATTAAGAATCAGGGAGTATAAGTTTTGATTAAAAAAAATTACTTGTTATACTCCTTCCATGATGAAAATATCAATTTTATTATTTTTTTTTCGTAAAATTAATCATATGTTAATACTAAAATATATTTTAATTTTTTTTACATAAATTAAAGCATATTATTAAACATACAATTAATTTAGACATAAAATAAAAAAACAAAAGGATCAAAATTACTTTATATAATTCAGTTTATTAATAAAATATTATTATTTATTAATATATTATAAAATTACAAATGACCCTTTTGGATCGAGACAAAGAGAAAATATTATTGTTTCTTTTGATTTGATTTATAAGAATTTTTTTTGTTTAAATTTGATATTAAAATAATATTTGATAAAATATTTTATTAAAAAATGTATATATATATATATATTTGAAAAATACGTAATTTTATTTTAACGGTACAATTTTAGAAGTTTGAACAAAAGAAGCATACCTTGAGTGAGTCTAAATAAATCAATAATGAAGACAATTGGTTAAAGTTCACCTTTTTTTTATTTAATAAACTCAGTAATGAGGATTTTCCCATTATGCCCTTGTATTTGCAAGTGGGTGATGAGTTAGACAACACTTGGAGCAGCCATTTATCACACTAATGGACCAATTAGCCCTTAACGGCATTCATCGAAATTTTAAATATATATATTTATTTATTTTAGTGCATTATTTCAGTCATGGATTTCATATTTAGTCACAACACATTCCCATTGGTATCTTAAAATTTTGATGTGACTTCTTTTGTAAATTTAAATATATTTATTTTGGTGCATTATTTTGATGTTCATACATTTATTTCATATTAATAAAGTTGTTAAATGGAGGACATATTTATTACACTATATTATTTATAAAATTAGTGCTATATGTTGCCACTTTTCATCTACTACCATACCTAGTCCCCACACTTGTTCCCAACTTAAATAAAATAAAATATCATTCTTATCTCAAAGTTCATTTTCTTCACAGCTCTTCTTAATTTTACTTTAAAAGAAATAATAAATTCAATCTCACTAACATAAAAAGAAAAAAAAAAAAAAAACCAATATTAAAATGTATGATACTTAAAGAAAAAAGTGTCCATTGGAAGACTATATAGATTTCCAAGGCATATAAACAATTCCTAATAAATTAGGGTTTGTTTGTTTAGTTTTTTAATGGTAAAAAAAAATAAAAATATATATATACTAAAAATCGTATTTAAAAAAAAATATTGGAATAACAAAACTTTATCATTTAATTTTAATATGTATATGCTTGAATTATACACAACAAAAACTAATGAGATAATTAGAAACCAAGATTTAAATTTCTATGAAAAAATATATACTAATCCCAAATGCTACATTAATTATATACAAATTATCTAACACATCACTACATTTTCCTTTCCCTCCATTTTTTCCAGTATCTAATTTTGAAGATGATTTCTAATCAAACCTTCATGTTGTAGAGGCTCAATTCTCACCACAACTTCTTGATCCGGTGGCGGCGCCGCCACCGCCGCCTCGGCAGTCGACGCACCGGCGGCGGCGGCGGCAGCGCTACATCCGACAATCTTATTACACGTCTCGATGAGGCAATACCGGCAAGTCGGGCAAGACGAGTGCGAATTAAGCCACTTATCGATACACCTAACATGGAATCCATGTTGGCACTTGGGCAAAACCCTAACCCTATCTCCGGGGGCGAATTCGGACAGACATATAACACATTCGGTATTGAGTCCCGGAAGCTTGAGATCATTCCCATAGCTTATCGTCGGGAACCTCTTGAGGGCCTTTTTCTTGACTCCGGTGTTGGCGAGGCGGGCGGCTGTGGTGTTCCCGGGCTCAGCCCCGGCTGCAAATGTCGAGCACCGGAGGGCGCACCGGATGATCGAGTTGAGGCCGAGTGAGCAAATAAGGGCACAAAGAAGAACCGAGAGGACCATGACGACGTTGGCATCGAAGGTGTTGGTGTCCTTAGGTTGTAACGGGGAGGGTGGGGTGGGGGGTGGGGTGGGTGGGGGGAGTAAAGGGGTGTGGAGTAGTAGTTTTCTTGATTGGGATCTTGACATGGATTTTGATTCTTGCAAGAAAATGGGGTTTGGGAAAAATGAAGACATGTCTATGTATCTTTGTTGGTTTTAGTGTTTTAGGGTTGGAAGTGGTGAAGGGATTTATATAAGCACAAAAAGGGTGGGGTTAACCACAACTTTTTGGTGTAAATAATTAAATTCAAGATTATAATATATATATATATCTCCAATGTATAAAGTAGTTATCTTTTAGGCTTTTTTGGTTTGTTAGTAGATATTGCATAGTTTCGGGTTTTGAACTATACCTATATTGTTAAAATGAGATAAAGTTGGAATATAAAACATAATTTTATATATAATGTTTTTTTTATTGATTATATAATATATAATACAATTTATAAAGTATTAAAAATATGTAAGACTAAAAATAAAGAAAGTATTTAAATTAAAACATTAATCAAGAAATGTAATAGAGACAGAATGTTCTAGAAAACCTACTCTATAGAATAATGTTTTCACATTAATTCATGTTTTCCATTATTCTTATTTTGAAATTGTTTAGCACAAAAATAATAATAATAATAAATAATGGCAGTGGGATTCTGGACGGGTCTGGATATAAGTTAAATGACCCAGAAGTCGGGTGCAATCGGACAGATGCAAGGATCGGGAAGGAAGAAAGGTCGGGCGGAGTCTGAAAAAAGGTGTACCCAAGTCGGGTAAACCGTAGATCGGGTGAAAGACGAAGTCGGGTAGACGCGAAGGTTGGTCAAGAGAAAGGTCGGGCAAGGAAGAGGTACGGACAGATGCGGAGGTCTGTCCAGAGGACAGTCTGTCCTTCTAAAGAGATAAGGCAAATAGAGCCGGTCGGTTGGTCCGTGGTCGGGACCACATTTGGTTGGTCCATGGTCGGAGCAATTAAAGTCGGTCAAAGACGGAGGGTGGCTGATGCGGAGGTCGGCCCAAATGATGTCGGGCGAAGAAGCAGGTCGGGCATTGAGGTCAGGACGTGATACGAAGTTCGGACCAAGTGAAGTCGGGCGAAGAAGAATGAGACGGACGATACGTGGTCGGGCAAGAGACCCGATGGCGGTCGCCTGGTTGGGGCGACCATTGAATCGTATGGGGAAATCAGATGTTGGTCGCTTGATGGGGCGACCAATAAATCGTTCGGTCCGGCGACCAGTTAGTCTCTGGATTGGTCGGGTAGCACTTAGGTCGGGCGAATGGCATTTCTGGGACGGTTTAAGGCGTGAGAGGTTTGGGGAGGTTGAAGGAAGTTGTAACACGTGTCAATTGAGGAGAATTTGATGGTCGGTTGACAGCGGTTGCTGTAACCGACCAGACGACGGTTCAAACCGTTTTCTTCAAAGGTTATTTAACGATTCAGATTTATTCTGAAAAGGCATCTTCAATCAACTTCAACAAAGCAAAGTCAGATTTGGGGATCACCACTTTAAATTTCAGTCTTTTATTTTCCAGTTTATTTTCTGTACCATACAGTGTTTAGAGATTCCTAATTTCAGGCACTAATTAATCAAGTTTAAGGATATTTTCTATATCTTTGAATTTTACTTTATTTTTGTTGAAAAATTACATCAACAGAAATATTCATGGGAGATAAAACATATATATGTCTATATAAATTATTCATAATAATTATTCACTATAGAGCATGAATAAACTGTTGATCCGATCAAATTAGCATATCATTTTATATTACACATGTAATTACTAATTAGTATATATTTATAATATAAATATATATATATTATTATTATAATTCAATATATATTACTCCCTCCATTCCAATACAATAGTCTTTTTGTTTACCATTTTTGTCTATTTCAAAACAATAGTATTATTTCCATAAATAACTATATCACTATACAACTATTCTTACTTTTTCATTATTATTACACAATTGTCACTACTTTTTAAGCTAATATACTCACAAGGGCGTAAAAGTCTTTTACCCGTACTTTTGATTCACTACCAATATAATATCAATATTCTTTAAATCTCGTACCAAATACAACCCAAAATTTCGTACCAAATACAACCCAATCTATAATTTTGGGACGAAAAAAATATAATATATATAAATATATACTAGTTATATTTATAACGTATATTGATCGATCAAATTAGTACTTATACTAACTTGGGATTGATCCGCCGCCTTCATTATGCTTCAAAATCTTATTGATAATTATGAATTTGAATATGGAGCCTAAATTATTGATTAAATGTTAATTAGTGAAAAGTGTTGGGATCCTCCACTAGGCCTTTAATCAAAGTGGGCCCAGCCCACTCTTGGAGCAGCACTAAATGATTGCCACGTGGGCTTGCCTCTCATTAATGCTCATTGGGCCCCATAGGTTGGGAAAGGTCATGGAAGTTTCCCTATCCAGTTTGAAATTTGACAATGACGTGGCACAATAAATTAAAATACTAAATATTATTTATTTCTCTCCTGGCCCTATTTTTTTTTTTTTTCCTTTTTTCCCTCTTTCATATTCAGTAGTTCTCTTGCTTCACTTTTTCACTTTCAATCACTGTTTAAATTTTATCGAACCAAAAGTTTAGGGCGTGTTTGCTTGTGTTTATTTCTCATATTTTTGATAATATACTTTCGTAGTATATATATTTATTTAAAAAATAAGTAATATATATTTGATTCTGTCTACTCTACTCAGAATACAAACTTTGTTAATTTTATATAAAAATATATTATTTCTACTAAAAAAAAGTTACATCTAAACTAATTTTCAAATTCAAATCCAAAATCAAACCTCAACTAAAAAAAAATCATCCTTTATTTTGAAAAATATTAAGGGGGTGTTTGACAAATAACTTTTTTAAGAGCTTTTAGCTTATTGATCAGTTTTTAGCTGTTTGACCAGTTAAAAAGCTAATTTAGGTGTTTGGTAAATTAGCTTTTTGAAATAGCTTTTTGGACCCAAAAAGCTAATTTCTGAAAAGCTAACTTATCCAACATTTTGAAATAGTTTTTTCTGTAATTTTTTTTATTCCTTATATGCCCTTAAAAATTTATTATACATTTTACACAAATAAATATATTTTGATTATTTATTAATTATATTAGAATATTTTATTATATTATAGTTTTACTTTTATAAATTTAAAATAATTAATTTTTGTATAAAAATTATTTTAATTGTAAAATATATAAATTTATTAAATCAACATAAAATAAAAAATATAAAAATATAAAAATATTAATAATTTATTTTTTATTAAAATTACATTATATAAATTTTATACTAAAAATAAATTAAATAAATTAAATTTATTGAAAATTATAAATATAATAAACTAATTGATAACTAACATAATAAATATATATACGAAAAATTTATTATTTTATATTTTACATCATTTTCAATAAAAAAAATTATTTATATATTTTAATAAAAATATATTATTTTTTAAATCTAACTGTAATAAAAATAAATATTTTTATAACACTTTTACAATTTTCAATAACTAATAACAAAAAATTTTAAACATTCTAAACTCAAAAGAACATAATTGAATATATTAGAAACAAGCATAAAATAGAAATATCCTTAATTGTCATTTTACGTGTAAACAATTAATATCAAATAGTTGTTTTACCAAACATTTTAATACAAACAGCTAATCGAATCAGCTAGTCAAACCAGCTAATTGAATCAGCTAACAGCTAATTGAATCAGCTAACAGCTAACAACTATCAGGTAATTGCCAAACACGCCCTAAGATTTAAGCATATGTTTATATGATACAAAAATTATGTAAAAATAAAACTCAGTTGGAATTGTAAAGAGGGGTTCATTAGGTTTGAAGTTTTATAAGTGGTTTATACTTGTAGAGTAATAGTTTCATATTTTTTCCTTTCAAAGTCAAATCAAAGTATCATTTTTATTTATCTCATTTAAAAGTATTTATTTTATATTTTAAAAAACGTAATCACATACTACTACTAAAATATCATTAATTTTAACTTAAATTACAAATATATTATACAATTACTTTATGCATAAAGTCAAATTGCAAAAATGTCAAAATTTTTTACATACTTTCACTAACTAATAAAATACTATTATTTTTTAATCTATGACAAAAATCTTCAAAAATCCATTTTTTGATTTGTAATAGAGTAGAGGGAGTATAATATTTTGACAAAAAAAATTATACTCTTTTGTCCTTTAAGGGCATCTCCAACCCAGCGCCATTAATGGCGCTGGGTTCGTTGATTTGGCATCGGTTCCTATGCCATTTTTTGGCATTGCTAAAGTGCAACGCCAAAATGGCGTTGCTTTCTTTTTCTTTTTTTTTTTAATTTTTAAATTTATTTTTTGTTTTTCTAATTTTAAAAAAAAAATATTTTAATTTATAAAAATAAAAAATTGTTTAAAAATAATGAGAAAAATTGAATATTCGAAGAATAATAGTGAAAAAATGAAATTATAATTGAAGTAAAATTACTTTAGAAATTGCATATTTAGAGTTAAAATTGGATAAATAAAGTTGATGGATTGAAGATGGACTAACAAATTAAGTGTACGTAGATATCTCTCTCTTTCTCTCTATATTAATCTCTGATTAAGGAAGCAAGTTGAATGCCTCGTGCCCTAAATAATTAATGTTAAATCTTTACTTATATACTTGATTAGATTAATTAGTGCATGCATGAAGATCATATATATATATATATATATATAGAACTAAGGAGAAAGTTGATATATACAAATAGTCTAAATCCCTATCCGTTTATGGGTAGGATTACACTATCTACCTACCTATCTACCTACAAATATCAATATATACATATATATATATATATGTGGTTTTAAATAAACTGGCTTGCTAGCTAATTAATTTAATTTCATGCACGTGGTAGTGGAATTAATAAGTCCCTGTAAGATGGAGCTCATGTACGTATTTTAGATTTTGTAAGTACTGTTGGTTAGGGTAATCCCATTACAATCAGACTATCCTACATATATCTATTCTATATGCTGAATAAAAAAAAAAAAATTATATATGTCCGTGATAAGAGTTATATTTACTTTTTGCGTGTCAATATCTGTATATTAAATATTATATCAAAATATAGTACAAATTAAAAAAAAAATAATTTTAATGTTAATTACAATGGTTGTAAAATAAATGTAACTCTTATTACTAAACGGAAAGAAGTAATGTTTTTCATATAACATATCACATCCACTCATTATTTCATTTAAACTAAAAACTGAAACTAAAATATAAGGACAAATAAAAAGGAGCAAACTATTTTATATTTAATATTCATCTGTCCCCAACTCAATGTATTGTTTTTATCATTTTCAATTGTTCTGCTAAATATTGTTCATTTTTTATTATAGTAAAAATAATTTAAATATAAATGACAAAATACTAGAAGTTTTTACAAAAATATTTGCAATGACAAAATTGTCAAATTCGTTTTGCATATTTCTAAACTAATTAATAAAATACTACTATTTTTTAATTTACTATAAAAATACAAGGACAGAATATTAAGTTGGGACACGAGGAATATATAGTAATAAAAACATATGATTATGATTTAAGATAAAAATAAAGAATCGCAAACAAATTTATTTGTTTGTAGTTTGCAATTAATTTCAAATGAAATATTGATTTAATTTTTTTATTTAAATAATATTTTGATATAATATTTTATAAGAAAACACAATATATTTTTATTAAAAAAGGCGTTGGTTTCAAATTAAAATCACCAAATACGACAAACCCACAAATTGCATGATTGAGCTGATAAATTCTTCATTCATATTGAAATATTATTTAGAGATTGAGCAATATTTGTCGGGATTCAAAGGTAGATTCATCGTATTATTTTATTAAGAAAATCAAATCAGCTATATATCAATAAAATTATATAACACAAAACTACCAATATATAATTATATATATATATATATATCTCCCAGACACTCACAATTATTCAATAATATCCGTCAATGTAAGCTAATTAATTAATCAATTAAGTCCAAAAGCGAGACATGAGTTGCATTCTTTTTCTGTGTTGGATGTTTGGCTTTGTTATTTTAAGGTCAAATAATTCTTTGGTATGGTGTTTTATAGAAAATTATTTTTATTGAAAATTGAGATTTTATTTTATTTTTTCTATTATAAATATCATATATGCACTCTATTCTATTTATTTACTTAACATTTTAAGAAATGATTAATAAATTATTGATAAACCATCAAGTGTGTGTCCCCTGTGTAAACTAATTCTTGGAATTAAGACATGTTATATGTAACTTTATATCAAGATCATATTTTTATATCAAGATCATATTGAACCCATGTGGGGTGACCCATAAAGCTAAGTTGCCAAGAAATCAAAAAAGGCAATTGATACGATCATATATATATATATATATCTCAATAAAGGGAGGTGCTTTTCATGTATGCATTTTCATTTTTCTGGATAGGGTCCCAATATCCTTCTGTGCAATCTTCCACATTCCTTTCTGCACATTGGTGACTACTCTCTCTCTCCTCTCTCTCTCTCTCTATATATATATATATACACACACATATATGTATGTATGTATAGTGGTGGTGGGACTAATTGTGAATCAACAGGCAGACATAATAGAATTGCAACTGCTAATCTGAAGATGATCTTGCTTTGGTCTGATTGGCTTATCTCTTAAAAGGGTACACTACTATCGCCTCCTCCAATACATATATACGTGAGCTAAAGTGCTAAATTTAAAATTCAGTATTATACTGAACAATATATTGTGTGTTATTAGATAATATATAATATTATTACAAATAACATATTGTATATGTTAATATAATACAAATATAATACATGAACAAAAGTCTCAATAACACACAATATTAATACGGACAACACATTGTATATGTTAATATATATATATGTATAGGCGGCTACAGTACTAAATTTAAAATTCAGTATTGTGCTGAACAAAATATCGTGTGTTATTAGATAACACATAATATTACTACAAACAACACTGTATATATTAATATAATACAAATACAAGATATGAACAAAACACACATGTTATAGTCTCAACAACACACAATATTACTACGGACAACATATTGTATATGTTAATATAATATAAATAAAACACATGAGCTAACAATAAATGCTATAGTCTCGTACAACACACACAACGGTTGATTTTAATACATGACATACTTGTATATAACACAATTACTATTATTAAAAACAACACATACCTTTATTATACATAACATGTGTTGTGCGTAATACTAACATTATTTGCATATATAACGTGTGCTAATGTGAAAATTCAGCATTGTGCGGAGCACCACAACCATCCCTGGCGCGCGCGTGTGTATATATATAAGGTTTGGGATTGGGATACTTGACTTGACACCCAAAAATCTGAAAATGAATTGATTAATGTGCAGTACTACACTATCTCGAATATTCGTTTGGATAAACTAATTAATTATCTACTTTCATATTCGATCAATTATATATATCTCCATATGCTTTTTTTAGGTTTCATTATATAGATCTATAGGCTATATACAAACATATTCTTCCACATGATATTGTTCTCTTCTTCTTCCTTTTTTTTTTTTTTTTTTTTTTTTTTTTTTAATGTGGGAACACGTGGTCACTATTCAAAAGTGCACATAAATAAACTTCTATAGATTTTAATACCTTGTAAACTATAACCGACAAGACAGGTCACACTAAACGAATCATGTATAAGAGGTTTGAACCTGGATGACACCTAATATTGTTAGTAACATTCCATCATTGATTTTCACCAATCACCATAGTTCTTTATGTATTTTGTTGAAATGAATATTGGTAGCACAGATCCCGGGCTGGGCTGGGAGCCCGAGGGCCCACACAAGGCCCATCTTTTAGGGAGGCCCACAACATCGATATATATATATATATATGTATTTTAATATACTTCTTCAGTTTAAATAAAATATAGCTTATTTATAATTTATGTAGTCCACATTCAATTGCCAAGTTATTATTACCTTTACATATACTTGTCACAATAACATTACAACTTCATTCTTTACTTACTAAACTCAAAGGTATTTTCTATATTTTTGTGTCTTATAAAAATTCATTTCTTGGTATATTATTCCTTCCGTCTAATAAAATTATATAAATTTAGTTGGACACAAAGACGCTGTTTCTTATATAAAAAGTTTTTCTAAATATTTTTTTTAAAAAATATTAATATACTATAGTTTATTATTTTTATATTATATGCATATTTCTCTTTACTTCAAATTAAAATACAAAATAAACACACCCAAATACTAATAAATAATGATATTTTAATATTAAAGTGAGATAGATAAAAAAATAAAATTATAGTATTATTTAAAAACATTAGTACATAATTCATAAAAAGCAACAAAGTGAGTAGAAAAATAATAACAAATTATTATTATTTATTAAAATAAAAACAATAAAATTATAGGTGAATAAAATATTTACTACGAATAAATTATACATAAGTTTATCGAATGAAAAAGAAAAAAAAAATTATATAATTTTGACGGGTAAATAAATACTATTTTTTTTAATTTTATTATAAAAAGCAAATAAGATACTAGGTGTAACCAATGAGTATTATTTTATTGATTAAAAATAAAATCAATTGAATCATATTTTTAATGGGCTGGATTAAACATTAGCAACATTCATGTTAACTTTGTACTTAATTCTTGAGAAAAAAACCCATTTGAAATTGGCCCAATATTCTTAATTACATTACTACTATTTGATTATTTTTTAATTTTTACTTTATTCAAATTAAATCATTTTATGATAAATTTATTACATTTATTTTAATTAATTATTTTTCAAATCTTACTACGCTTTTATTAATTTTTTAATACTTTTTTATAATACTTTATTTATTTTTTTATATTATATTTTAATGTTAAAATACTGATATTTATTAATTTTCATATTTAAACAAAACAATATTAGTGTTTCATTTACTTTTTGTTTTTTTCACAAATATTATTATAACAGTATTACAAAATATACTAAAAATATTTTTGTTATTTTCTTTTTATTTTTACTATATTTTTAATTTAACACGCAGAAGATCAATGAGAAGATAATATAAAATATTGGATAAGAAAGTATAATTTAACATCAATAAATATCTATATCTTCACTTAAATATAGATTTTTTAAATAAAAATATATTTGATATGATATTTTAAAAAATTAAAATAGTATCAAAATTTTGTTAATATTTTATAAACAGAACGTATATATATATATAAGGTATTGAAAATATTTTTAAAATCTTGAATAATAATATTAGCGTGATGTAAAAGTGTGAGATATCGAATCTTACTCAACGCAACAATTAATGAAATAGTATATATATATATATAAAAAAAAAAAAAAAAAAAGAAAAGACGAAGTCGCATAGACCCTGGCGTGGCAACAATACAAAACGGACGAACTGCAGGATTCCTCACCGCACGATTTATCGGAAGAAGATTTGAACACCAAGCCCGAAGACTTAAAAATCCCTTCTCTTTCTCTCCATATCTCCTCTCACAACGGCACGAATCCTCAAGTTGAATTTCTCTCCTATCATTCCTTTTTGCGGGGATTCAATTTCTGTTTCGCTTCGGTTTTTCATCTTCTATTTGTTAATGTGGAACGAGAAGTTTGGGTGATTCGAATTTATGGTTAATAAGAGAAATAGTTCTATCCTGTGTATCTTTAATGTTTTGAATTCACGAGTAGAAGATAGTTAGACATAGAAGAAGACGGCCGGAAGTAACCCCGGGGTTTTATGGTTTGTTAATTTATTTATGTGTTTTTCTTCTGAAGCGGTCGTTGAGTTCTGCTGCCACTTATTTATTGCTTGAGGGCGACTTGTTAGCGTGATTTCAGACTGAATTTCGTTTATACTGCTTTTGTTTGAAGATTGTGTATTTTTTGGAATAGCTCGATATCCTGTTGCAGATGTTCTTATGACGTTTTCGAAATAGGTTTCGGAATCAAGTATACTATTCTGAGGTATCGGTGATATTTGAAAAGTCGGTTAATTGAATTGATTTTGGTTTTTTTGTGTTGGTGCGGCGTATCGATGGCTCCTCATGGTGCTGCTCATACAGAACCTGCGGTTATGGAGCAGATAATTATGGAATTTTTTGCCAAAAGCCTTCATATTATACTGGATTCGCGTTGCCCTTCTGTTTCATCGAGAAATTACAGCGGCGAGCAAGTTCCATCCTCGCCGTCCCCATCATCCTCATCTTCATCCTCCCCAAGTTTCAGGCCAAGAGATAGGTATCTTAATCCGACCTTTCGGGAGTACTCTGCTGCCTTAGAAGCCATAGATTTGTGGAGGCAGAGTAGTCCAGAGCCCATGATAGTTGATATTGTTTTAGTCCAGAGGCAGCAGACTGAATTGGGCCCCTTGAATTTCTCCCCGAAAAAATTCTTAGCAAGGAATTCATCTGGGAAAGAGAGGGGTTATTACAGCTCAGACAATGATGAGTTTGGGTGTGATCCTAAGAACGAAAAGGTCATAGAGAGGTGGGTTTTGCAGTATGAGAGTAGGAAGAATGCTGCAAGAGCTGGAAGTAAGAGGTCGAGCTGTATGAGCCCTCAGACACTGTACAAGAAGTCGATTGTGCTGTTAAGGTCATTGTATGCAACAGTTAGGCTTCTGCCTGCTTATAATTTGTTTCGTGACCTAATTTCATCTGCCCGGATTCGACTGTACAATCTTCGCCACCGGATTTCATCTTTCGTCGAGCCCTTTACCCATACAGAAGAGGCAGAGATGCAGCGATTTGTTTTTACACCGATCGACACTTCTTGTGGCAGGCTGTGCCTCTCAGTCATGTATTGTTCGTCGGTAATTGAAGTGAGTTCTGAGCCGTCAACTCCAATGTCTCCGCAAATCATTTCAGAATATGTTGGAAGCCCCATGGCTGAACCTCTTAGAAGAGTTCCAATGTGTTCGTATCCATTTGGTAGAAGGCATAGTTGGAGTTATGACCTGTACATGGCATCACCACCATCAGCGAATCCATCTCCTTCACCGACACATTCTGAGCCCCATGCCTTGTTGTCGAAAAGGCGTAGCTCTCTCCTTCCTCGTTCAGGTTTACCCCGTCCTACACATGATGAACCACTGGTGGTTTATGTGAAAAATCAAAGATACGATGAGCACTGCCCCTCTTCCTCCATGCTCTCACCATCTCCCTCACCATCACCGCCTATGAATGTTCCCGGTAATCATAAGTCTAATGTACTGTCACGGTGTGAAAGTGCTCCTGTTAGTATACCTATTCCTAGGTTTCCCAGCATGCCTTCATTGCCGGATAAGCAACTCCCACCTTCGGTGAAAGCTGATCAACTTGCTGTTCATAAGCAAATTAGCCCAGCGGTTAACAAGGTATATGCATTTCGAAAAGTGGATCTAATTTCTCTGTTCCATAAGCATTTCTCTGATTTCAAACATGTCGTTTGCAGCTGTCATCTGTCAGACATGATGGGCCAGTTTTGGATGTGAAATCAGCAGCTAGCTCTCCGGCAAAGGTGTTTTCTAGGACATCGAGTAGGCTATCTTTGCACGATGATTATGATGGTTTCGATTTTTCTGGTCCATTTTTCGTGGATGATGATGAAATCATGGATTCAGCTTCCAGGTAATCAATCTTTTCTGATGAATATATCTTATGGTCAATGAAAATGCGATTGAATAATTATCGCTTGTTCCACAAATATTTTACACTAATGTTTTCAGTTTTGGCAATTATTCTACTTCCTGATGTCCTAAACCATTGAAAGTAATTAAATTACATGGTGAAAACTTTCTAATTCTTGGAAATTAAGTAAACTGCTGTCAAAATTGGTGAGAATAAAAATGCGTGGCAGAAGACTTCCTACATTAATGGTTGAATAGAAATTGAGGCTTTGACAGAGTTGGAAGTTTTATGATTCATGGATCAAGTGAAATAGCTGATGCCATCTGCATGAGCATAAGAAACTAATAACACTTGTGATATCTGGTGTAATTACCTGAGATCTAGATTATCTTCAGTAAACAATATGTTGTCTTTTTTTCCGTACTTATCTTTTATCTTTTGTTCTTGAATTTATGTGATAACCATCTGATTAGGGTGGATAGATTCCATTCTAATCAAATGTTTACTTTGAATTATTGAAGGCATTATTATTCTTGAATTTGTTATTAGTACACTAATTTCTATGATTGTCTTATCCTGTCCAATAATTGGGATAAAAATAATCCCTTAAAGTATGATTAAAGATTATAATCCCATTCTTCCTAGTAAACATAAACATACCCAAAGGTAATGAAACTCCTTGCTAACATCAGGCCGATGGCATGAAGTAGCACACTAACTTCAGACATTTAGAGATTGATAAGGCTTTTGATGTTTGGTGTATGTACTATCTACCTGAGACGTATATTAGATTCAATATATTTGATCTCGTATTTTGTATACTTCTCTTTGAACCTCTGTTCCTCAATTAAAGTTTTGATAACATTGTGGAGAGCATTTTTATAATTGATAACATTCTTGTAAATTCATTAGAATTTTACTTTTGAGCTGAGACTTGACTGCCTCTGATTCACTGAAGTTATGAAGTGATTAAACCTTGTTGCCTTTTACATCACAATTAACTAACTGCTGCATATCAGTGTAGTGCCAAGTGTCGATCTTGATTTTTTCTAATTTTAACTTCCACTCTATAATTTCACCAGATAAATAATGCTCTAGATTTTCTGGTCCAGCTGTGAGAACAACTTTTATATAGACAGTTCAAGTCTTGTTTAGGTTATTCACATTTATTCGTAGGAATCTTGAAATTTTCATCGATTATTTGCTCGTGGAAGGTTTGCATGACCTTAATTGCTGTAAGAACTTTTCTTTTCTCGGGCTTATACTGGCCATTGTGAATTGTGATCGGAGTTGGTTGTCTTTTCGTAAATTTTTCGCATTTGACTATAGTCTGCGTTATTATTCGGATTCTTTCATGCTAGAAACCAACTAACATGTCGTGGTTGATTCTGCCAGACTGGACCATCCATTGGGACCCCACAAAAGATCACAAGACCCAATGGTTGGTGCTCTTGTTTCTCTACTGAATAAAGCACCGCCTCTCCGGCCAGATGCCTCAGTCGCCTCGCCCTATCTTCAGTCCACTTCCTCCAACATTTCCACGTCCGGACTTGCTACATCCAAAACTACAGCTGATGCGCTCGAGGAGCTCCAAACATATAAAGATATGAAAGATGCGCTGCTGAAGCAGGGTAAGGATCGACAATCATAGCATTTGTTCGCGGCGTATAACCAAGGGAGTTCTTCAAAGATTTAGCAGTACATACACTTTGAGCTTTACATACTTTTTAAGGGTTGTTTTATCCAGATGTTACTTTTTTAGGCATATTAATGTTGATTTTGAAATGCCTATGGAACTTTTGTTTTTAAGTTAAATGGGATATGCAGTATTTATATCAACTGCTGCCTTGTGTATAATACATACATACTTGCATACAATTGTTCACATTATTGAGCTTCTAGTGTGACTATCCATTTGTGTATATGTTTTGAAATTCAAATGTAGACTATATTTGAAACAACGGCGGCTATACTAACTACTATTAAACATTACATAATATTACTACAAATAACATATTATATGTAAAATACATATGCTATAGTATAACGTGTGTGGTGATGTGAAAAATCAGCGTGGTGCTGATCTTTCCGTAACCATCCCCATTTGAAACCATTCACTTCATTCATCAGCTAACTACCGATAAATAAAGTTCAAAACTTTCCAAACAACATTGCAAAAACTTGAAACATCACAACACATTGTTAATTTAGCAGACAGAAATTGAAATTAAGTGAACCTATTATTATCCACTTATCATTGTTCCTGCTCCTTGATCTGTAAGAATCTCCAGAAGTAGTGAATGCTTAAGGCGTCCATCTATAATACTTGCAGTCTTAACTCCTTGAGCTAGAGATCTTACACAGCAATTCACTTTTGGGATCATCCCGCCCGCGATTGTTCCGTCTTCGACCATTTTTTGAACCCCTTTAATGTCGATTTCCTTCACCAAGCTCTTGGGATCGTCCCGGTCTTTTAGCAGCCCCGAAACGTCTGTCAACAAGATCAGCTTCTCTGCTCCCAAAGCCGCCGCAAGCTCTCCGGCTGCTGTGTCTGCATTAATGTTGTACGACTGTCCCGTCGCGTCGGCAGCAACAGAAGCAATTACAGGGATATGGTTGTTATCCACGAGTGGTCGTAGTATCGACGGATCAACGCTAGCAATGTCTCCAACAAACCCCAGCGACGAATTGTGAGAAGGCCGGGCAGTCAAGAGTCGACCATCAATTCCGGATAATCCGACTGCAGTTGCTCCTGCCTTGTTGATCAGCGCAACGAGATTTTTATTCACTTTACCAACCAACACCATCGACACAATCTCCATGGTCGATGCATCTGTTACTCGGAGACCATTAAGAAAGTTAGGCTGAATGTTGAGCTTTGTGAGCCACTGATTGATCTCCGGCCCGCCACCGTGTACAAACACAATCCGAAGGCCGACACATGAAAGTAGGACAATGTCAGAGATCACGGATGCCTGGAGAACCTCGGACTTCATTGCAGCGCCGCCGTATTTAACAACAATAGTCTTGCCACGGAACTTTTGTATAAAAGGTAGAGCTTCCGACAGAATCTTGACTCGCGCGAGGGCAGCTTCTTGTTCTGTCTCGATTCCAATTTCCGGTGTTGGCATTGTTGTCAATGATGATGATGATGATGATGATGATGATGGTAAACAAGATGTGATGCACAATCTTTTGCTGCTACATCTGAGTTTGAATTTGGGACAGGTAACAGCAGCACTTGGGAAAGACTTGCAAGATCCATTTGATACCGAAATCCCTTTTTGAAGTAGTGGGGATGGAGATGCAGTTGTAGTAGGAATGGTTGTAGCCACTAACATTGTTAAGACCTTAATGATTTAGGCGAGCGAACAATCAATCAATTAGTAAATTAGGGCTAGGAGGATAATAGTATCGATAATGCACCTGCAAATATGAATCAACCAAAATGGAATGAGCTACAAATGAACACAGATTTTGCAAATCACAATGTTCTCAAATCCAAACAAAGAAATTACAAATACAGAGCCAAGAAGAATCAAAATGAAAATCCTACGTGAAACCTAAATCTAAATCCAAATCCAAAGACTTTCAAGCTACCAAATTAATAAGCTTTAAAACCTGAATCCTAAGCTCGAAATAAAAAAAGGAAATTCAGATTCAGATAGAATTGAAAAACGAAAATAAAACCACCAAAATATATAACAAATAGAAGCCCTACCTGTATAATAAGATTCAGATCATAACAAATATCAGCACAATTCATAGACAAAAACGATAATGGTCTATCAAAATCTTAGATGAAACGAATTCTCCCAGTCACACCGAAAATTCCTTTCTATTGGAAAAATAATCAATCAATCATTCAATTCGAATGGACTACGATGAAATAAAAATGCAGAAAAGAGGTGTACAAAGGATCTTAAAATGCGAAGTTACCTTCGAAGAGGAGAGAAGAGAAGCGCTGTGTTTCAGTCAATCACAATGACGGCTCTTCTGTCTGTTGCTGTTTATGCTTCCTTCAGACTAAACCTACCCAACCGGGTTCAAACCGCCGGTTCTCATGTTGCGGCGGAACCGCCGTTGAACCGAAATCGAAACCGAGTATATTATCTGAACCGTTAAAAGTATTTTTGAGTGATTGGGTTTGGGTGTGTTTCAGAATTCAGATATAGCCAAGAAGAAGCTTTAAAGCAAAAACCTAAGCCAAAAAAACAGAAGAAGATATTATTTGTTTTTATTTAATATATCATATATCGTGTTAAATAAAAGCATATAGATATTCTGTACTAAAATTAATTGTAAATTATATCGTGTGAGACCGTGTGCAGTGCTGTTTATCATATGTTATATTTGTATTTATACTAATATGATTCAATATGTTTGTTCTATGGGGTATCCATTTATGTATAATATTTATATTAATATATCAAATATAATCTATTTAATTTATAATGTTTATTCTTATGTGGCATGTTGTCTGTATTGAACTTTTTAAGTCAGCACAAAGAACAACCGACATATATATAAATACTAGTCTCGTATGTTTTGTTTCATTTACCATCTATATTATATCTATAAATATATCAGCTTATTTTGAATTATGTTTCGCATTACAAATATAGTATATTTTTTTCATATTTAAAATATATATATAATCTAGAATCTAAATTTATAATATGTTAAAAAAATTCGTACTCAAAACAATAAAATACAGACTCAAGCAAATCTTTTCCCATGTCATGGAAGAATTCAGACACAGCTAGCAGCAAGACAATGGACATTTTCATCAACCTTGCTTTACTTGTTCACAAAATTCTTATCAATGTTACAACTAGACCAGCAAAAACAAACATACCCCGAATTCGGAAACGTTCCCATGCCGCCCGGGCAGTGTTCACAAACTAACAAAAAATAAGCGAAACTTCAGAAGTCCAAGCCCTGCTCCCGGGCAGCAGCTGCAAGGGCCTCGATCCGTCCATGGTAAGGGTAGCCACCTCGGTCGAAAGCCACCTTTGTTATTCCTTTTTCAAGACAAGATTTTGCTATAACTTCCCCAACTCTTCTCGCAACATCCTGTAGAAAGATTGAGGTTACCAACAAACTATAACAAGATCAACTACTGTCTTTCCACATCATATTTCAAAGAATTAGGCAAAACTTTCCTCCTTACAGTAGAATTGCAACAATTTCCAACGATCATCTAGTGAAATATGGGACATTGTAGGATGATGGAAATGGAAAGACAAAAGATCGATGTTCTTAGACTGTCTAAGCAAGCTCTCAACTATGAAATAAAGCACATTAGAATTAACTTTTCGAAATTGCATCATTCAACTTACAACAGTTGGGCCGGAACTAAACTCAAACTCTTCCGAAATGGGCTTCTGCATAGTCGACGCTGAAGCAAGAGTATGCATTTTCGAATCATCAATCACCTGAACATAAATATGCTTGTTCGACCGAAACACACAGAGTCTTGGCCTTTCGGGCGTCCCTTCAACCTAAGGCGAAAAAAAAGTAACTAACACATTTTCTGAAGTCTTGGACAGTACTAACATACATCATGGGAAAATGCCGTGAAGGTTGTTATGGAAATTAGAGAGAAAACATATCACTGGAGCTTCAGAGTTAAGAGAGACAACTTTTTAACATTATCGTCGACCTGGCTGTCCAAAGTTCGCCCAATTTGTATAATAATGGATAACAGACAAAAGTTTTATCAATCGGATCGATTACGAATATATCACAAACAAATCCTCAGCCATAACCACAGCTCACCAAACAAATTAGAATAATAAACTGCTCCAAAAAAATTACACAATTGAGACGAAGAAGACTCCCTTGAGTGTCTTCCACCACGTCAATTTATCACTCCAAGTTCTCCTATTCAAGTATCCTCACCCAACCTCCCGTCTATAAAATAAACCTTTTTTATTTATCGTACAATCACTTGTGGATTCTGCATTCTGCCTAACGAAATTCCTCAACAGACACATAGCACAAGACAAATGTTATATATGATAAAACGAATAGTATTTACTTTCTTACGGATGCGGCGATGGCGAGCAGCCCGGTCCTCTGTTTTCGTTCTGGTCTTGGCTTCAACTACGAGACGCCGACGATGGAAGAAGGCTTGCGAGCCGAGGGGATTGGTTACATTGCAAAAGCGGGGGTGCTGTGTAGCTGCCCAGGGGCTCTGCAGAGAGGAAAAGGGAACCAAATTGCAAGTCATCCTCCTCGCGATGCCTATGAATGAACTTCAGTATGCGCGAGCCTTCGGGATTGGATTGTTTGCAGATAAGGGAGGACATTTGCAATTACACCCTCTATAAATACAGAAATTGTAGTTTGGTACAAAATGAATTTTAGACTTTCCCAATCGGATTCGACCCTGCGGTTCGCTTCCGGTTCAAACCGGACCCGTCATAGACTTGTTTGTTTATAATTTCAAACTTAAATGAGTAAAAATCATTATTAGTCCATTCAAACCCTTTTTTTTTTTTTTTTTTTTTTTTTTTTTTTTTTTTGGACTCATACAAAAATAATTATTAAACTAATCACACCCAAAAAATTACTTATAACACGAGCGTGTTTTGTCTGAGTCAGATTCCAAGTCAGCATCCGTAACCGCCCCGTCAGCCGAAACCGTCAAAATTTGAACAGTAAAACTAGAAATAATAAGTAATTTTTTGAGTGGGACTAGTTTTGATAATTATTTTTATATGGGACCAAAAATGAAAAAATTAGATTTGAACGAGAATAATAATGATTTTTACTCAACTTAAATCTAATCAATTTCAGATTTCAAACTCAAATGTATAAATTATATAACCACAAAACACCCAGTGAAACCCCTCTTGTATTAATATGGTAAAATTTGCAGAAAAAATACTCTTTGTCTAAAATTGACATTTTGATTTAAATTAGATATAAATTATTCAAATTTTATACAAATAAAAAATATCTCAAATAATTTTTTTTTAATAAAATCAATAAATAAAGAATTATTATATAAGATATATTATTGTTATTATTATTTTTTATAAAATATACATTATTGAATTCATATTTACCATCAAATATTGGACGAAAAAGTCTTTCTAACTTTACAAAAGTTTCATTTATTTTTTGTAGTTGATATTTAAATATTAATTATTATATTAAAATCTAATACAAATTAAAAAAAAATTGAATATAAACATATTTTTGAATTACAATGACAAGAAATGTAACATTAAAGGCGGATGGAAAAAGTACATTTTTACAACACGCTGGGCTGTTATATAATTTATCCAAATCAAATTATAATACTCTCTATACGGGTGTGTTCCTGTTCAAACTTCCCGCAAGAAACTGTGTTGATAAAACTCATCAAAGGACAGGCGGTGATCTGCAGACAAGCAGTTGCATCAAACATCAATTTACAGACATAATCAATGGACAGACTAACTAACATTGTTAAACTACTTAGACCTGACCTGGGTTGATGGATAATAACCTCGTACACAAGTCGACACACTCCCCGTGCAGCTCTGGGAGGACTGCATTTGAAAATGGCAGAGATGTAGATGCCTTGATATTCTGCAGAATCTGGGAGCTACAATTTCAGTTGATGAACTGACTGGTAAAAGGAAGTGCAGCCAGCAAGGCTATGTTCTTGCTAATGCTACCTGAAAATGATTTCGGCCATGAAATGGAGGATAACCATTAAGGAGTTCAAACAGCATAGCACCTGTGCTCCACATGTCCACCTATGGTTATGAAGAAGCTCTGCGTTAGAATGTTTTGGATATAACCAAGAAGCCAGAAGATGACATACCTTGTCATTATATCTCTGGAACTGAAGAATTTCCGGAGCCATGTACAATGGTGATCCACATACAGTCTCTGCAGTTTCGTTGGGATATATAATCCTGATCCCATAGAAAACTGGACATTATAAGATTGAGAATACATTGCATACTTCTTACAAGTCCAATTTATGGATAGAGTTTGGGTTCTAGTTTTATCACCTGGAAAGTCCAAAATCAGCAATTTTTAAGATGGGGTTGCAATCAGAGCAAGACAGAAAGATATTCTGTACCAGATGAAAAAATTAAATATATGTGAAGGGAACCAATTAATTTTCATATTTCAGGACTAGGAATTAGAAAAGAAAAAAACAAAAAACCTCTGGCTTTAAGTCTCGGTGAACCATGTGATTCTGCTTCATTACCTTCAGACCAGCTCCTGTTAATATAAATCTCAAGTAGATGTTTTTGGACAAAAGTGGAGACCAGTAACTGAAATTGTTTCAACCTAATTGCTGCATGAATCTTTTAGCTATAATTTCTTGAAGTCTTCCATGGCGCCGGATGTAAGAGGCCAAATTTCCTCCAGCACAGAACTCCATGACAAGGAATATGCAGTCTTCATACTGAGAACTATATCCGATCAGCTAATGACAAAAGCCAAACTAAACAAAAATAATAGTTATCTATAAATTTTCTTTCTCATCAAACTAGTAGCACATGAGTCTTATTGATGGGAATCATTGCATATCATTCCCCTGCTTGATATCATGTTCATATAAAAGATTGATTTCAGAGATCTAAAACCAATTGGAATAAAATCCAACCACCCATGGAAGCTTGCTCTTGTTTTGAAGAAAGCAATGGCTACAGCTAAATCCTTGCTCAAGCATTCTATAGTTTTAAGTAAGAGCATAAATTAAGACAAAACCCATAATTAAACTACGAAAATTAAACGATGAATCATTGTGAGCATCTCATTAGCAGGGAACGAAATTGGATTGGTGCAACAGTATACCACAGTGATAAAATGTTGATTACTTAAGGTGAGGAAAACAGTAACAAGCCAAATGACAAAAGCCTATTGACGAAGTAAAGAGGTGCTTGCATAGCAAATGAGATCGATCATTTCCAAACAGGTGAATATTGCACAATGCACAATTTTACATTAATTTGAAAAGAATATGCCCTATTAACAATTTTATGCTGTTTAAATCACTCCAATTTCTTCATTATAAGCATCAAGAGTTAACCATAAAATCTGTAAGTAATCAACTCTAGGAGTGAAGGAGGAACACTCGTGTTGCTCGTGCTCATCTTCTACACATTTCCAGAAGTTGAAGGCATACGAATAGGCAAAACAAAACAAAGCACAGCGCAGTTGCTCACTCTGAAGAAATCGAAGAGGCGAATGATGTTGGGATGATCGACGGAGGACAGAAAGTTGAGCTCACAGTCCAAGCAATTCCTGAGGTGGCGCGTGAGCTTCAGCACATGGATCTGTTTGACCGCTACCACTTCACCGGTGGCTCTGCGCTCCGCCTTCCACACCGTCGAGAGAGAGCTTTCCCTCAGTTTCGACCTCAAAATGTAATCTTCTATGGAAGATTGATTAGCGTTCTTCCTCCTGTTCTCCCAAATTCTCCTTTCCTCCATCATCACCGACTTTCCTAGACTCTGGATGGGGCCGGGGACGGTATACACACAGGCCGTCTAACTTTTTTGTAGTAATTTTTATTAATTATTCATAATCTATGTTCTGTTTATATTTAATATAATTTTATTTTTTTTCTCATTTAATATTATAATTATTAATTTTATTTTTATTCAAAATTATTTGTTGAAAATTCGTATTGAATTACTCAAAAGGTGATTGGGTCGCAACCAACAGCATCCCAAGCACGACCTGTATTTTTAACGCAATCATATTTTTCCCATGTTTTTGTTCATGTTCTCGACATATCTATATTATGATCATAGTCTGTTCTCAACACAATCACATTTTAAGTCATGTTCAGGATTATGTATTTATCTATATTAATATTATTTTTTAAAAAATATTATGCTCTTTTCTTTCTCATATTTATTTATTTTTATATATTTAATATTAAAAATATTTTTATATTTAAATAATATTTTATACAAATATAATTGGATTAATACAATAGAATTTTTATTTTCTTTCACTTAATTTGTGCTTAAGTATAAATATAAATATAATATTAATATTCATCAAATTGGGAAATTATCCTATCTTTTTTCTATCCAAACTTCTTAATGTGATTAGAAACTAAAAAATAATAAAATTTTAATATAAAAATAAATTACATAAAATAAAATAAAATGAGCTTATTAATAAATTTATTAAAAAAATATACATAATTTTTATTGGAGAGAAAAAGAACACAATTTTAATTTTATTTATAAGATTTTATATCAAATATTAAATTTATATTTTTTTAAAATAAAAATTTTTGAAAAAACATCCAAAATACTAGTGTTACATAATTTGACCGCCTAATATTTACATTGATTTTTAATATATAATATATTTATATTTATATTAAAATATTATTTTTACAATTCCAAAAATCTTATAAAACCACAAATAAACACCCCCTAACGCCTTATGCCACGAAAAGTGTATCACGGCTTCTAGCTTATGCATAGTGTTAAATTCGTTAATGGCTCCGAACAAGAAAACCAAATCGAAGGCCAATGTGGCCGACTCAACTCAGCCTCAATCCAATTTTCCGGGTTGTCTCCGTGCGGTTCCTCCATCATCCGTAGCCATATCGATCCACGCCAAGCCTGGTTCCAAAGTCGCAACAGTCACTGGTGATCCCTAATTTTATTCGCTCCCGTTTTCTGGATTTATGAGTGAAGTAGTCGAACTAATTTAATCAGTTGTTGCGTTGTTTGATGAAATCGTCAGATATAAGCGACGAGGCATTAGGAGTGCAGATTGATGCCCCAGCTAAAGACGGTGAAGCTAATGCCGCACTTCTTGATTATATTAGCTCGGTGATTCTCATACTCTTCACTTGTTAACTATAGCGAATAGTTAACTCATGATTATGTTGTTTTATCCTTTAGAAGTAATTGTGTTAGCCTATCGAGTCATTATTTTGTAATGAACCGTTAAAGGCTTGATTATGTTTGATGGTTCCTGGCTTATTAATTCTTTTTCTAGTTGTATCTTAGTGAGAAGTTCGTAACCTGATAGACATTGCATACAAGACATTGCAGAACGTTTGCTAATGTGGACTTTTGCATTAATTTTGTATTTCTTAGCAATCTTCAGTTATTTGATAATCTTCCATGATATGGGCAGCATATGATTGAACTTAATTGCTGTGCTAACTGAAATTAATAATGTACTGATGTATTTTGAGTGTGGTGGGAAATTCCAGACTGTGCTAATTACTGTTTTATTTATTTATTTATTTTTTTTGTATTTTGTATTTTGTGTATATATATATATATATTTGTCTGAATGCTAATTACTATTTTTGAAAGGAGTATTCTTGGTTCGAATTACTGGTTTTCAAAGAAGTATATCAAGTGGTTGTATGTGATTCTCATAAGGAATTCTCTCATGAAAGCTTCCATTAAACTTCAATTTTTGAATCCAGAATTTGTAGGCATCCCAAGAACAGAATGCAGTTCCTTTTTCTTTTGTTTTTCTAAAATGTGTTAGTGTGATAGCATGATAGGAATTTGACTTCTCAACTTTTAAGGATTTCAGAAGTGTATGATTGTCTAGCTAGGCATACCACGATTTGCATCAAGAAGAAACAGTTGGATTGGTAATATGGTATTTTGCTTATCGAAATGGCTCATCAAAATTTTATGATTGTATTTGGTTTAAGTAAAGTGTTATTTTCTTTCTTTTGATGATTTAACCAGTCAACCTATTCATCTGTGTAAATGTGTTTGTCTATTTCTCCATATATTGTATATCACCACTAACATTAATGCACTCAAATCCTGAACCTGGTTAAAGTTAGGTTATGCACTTCTATGCTTAAAATTAATAATTTAGCTTTTTTTATGTTTAGCAAGCGTCTTTTTAATGTCTTTGTTTGTTTTTGGACATAACTTTGATAGTCTGATTGATGGAATCTGTGTATATTTTCTGGGGCAGGTGCTTGGGGTTAAAAAACGGCAAGTTTCAATAGGTTCTGGCTCAAAGTCGAGGGACAAGGTTGTGATAATAGAAGAGGTAACTGTAGAGAGTGTATTTAATGCTCTCAATAAAGTTCTAAAAACCCCCTGATGGGATATGGGAAATGTAAATTATTATTTGATACTCCATTTACCATACAACTACAATGCCCTTTCCAGTTTCTTCTAAATTACTATGCAACAAGTTGCCTGGGAAAGTTTCTAATGTTTACTTCATTTGATCTTTCATTGATCTGTAAAGTGTAAATATGCAATATGGCCTTTTCTCTTATTTAAAGTTTCGAAATAGATGTAATAAACTTTACTTGTGCTTTACAGCTTCTTAATAACTACACAATCTAAGCCAATAAGAACTGAGCATGGTTGAAAAAATGCATATCATCCTCAGTCATTTTTCTGAAACAGAAACATAATTTAAGCCATCGTTCTTCTTGTTGTATATTAGTTTTCCCTTGTGGTGTTTTACTCTCTGTAGTGTTTACTGTTAGTGGAGGATGTTCCCCACCACAGACACTTATCACTCAATAGGAGTTTGTCACTGCCAAACACCTGGAGAAAGATTGTCCATTATTTCCAATAACCACTGTGTTAAATCTGATGCCAGTGCTAGTGATGTTATCAGGATCTTAAAGATTTCCTATGTGTTTCTGTATGCTACCTGTAAATGAAAACTAATACACTATAAAGCATGCGCCTAATAGGCAACTGTGTTTATGAGTGAGTGAGAGATCAGGGAGGATGGGTATTCTCTCTGCCTATATGTATTAGCGTGACTCCAATCACGTGTGGAACGTCAAGAAGGATTCTAATTTCTATTTAAGTTCTAAGTACAATCAACAGAACTGAAAAGGCATTTGGCTCAGTTTATGCTTTAAAAAAGCTATAGCACAAGACTAATAACTGTTATCTGCCAAAGTAGATTGAGAGAACTTCATGAATATTGCTGGTTTAAAAGCTGGGAAGAATATATACTTTGATTATGATAGAATGGGCTTTGTAAGGTCATGCATAAGTATCAGTGGTAAAGAAAATCTCAGTATGTCCACATGTAGTCTCTGAAATCTTCAAGGATAGACATGCTAGAAAGTTCCTGTAAACATGTAGAACTATGCCAGGTTGTCTTTGGCCTTGATTCTTATTTGGAGACCTATGTACTTGTCTAACTGGAGGAGATCGCTAGGAAACCTGAGTGGGTAACAGAAATAAGAATTGAACCTTTAAATTTAATCCTCCGTGGTGACATAGGTATAAGGTATTCTTAGGAAGAACACATTTTCGGCTGCCATTATGGTACTGATGGCTTGTCTCAGGCCAAAGATTATAAATGTCACATATCGGCAATTCTTTAAAACCAGCCCATGATTAACTGCCAGGATTGTCAAAATTATAACTAGCCAATTGCTCCTTTTTTTTTTCATCAAGTGTTGCTGTTAATTTGCAATTCTAGTTCACTCTTTAAACCTTTTGATTGATCATCTACTTCCTGTATATTGTTTTTCATTCTAACACTTGTTTTTCATGAATAATATTCTTACCACTGTTGTTGGGATTTCGAAATGGCTCTTCTCGGATGCTTATTACTTTGTCAAACGCTGCTTCTTAGATATTTTGGATGGTACTAACATATAGAAATAGCTATAATCAATTAGCGATATGTCATCAAGGAAGGATGCAAGCTAGTTGCATTTAAACAAAACATGATCATGCCATTGTAAAGACTGATTACAGGAAGATTTAGTGTTTCGCAATGCATATAAGTGTGATGCTAACAAATTGAAGAGACTGAGGCAGAAACATTAGTATTAAGCACTACACAGAACTCAGGAATGAAGTTGGACTTGGGGGCACTGGGATATCGACAGTTCCCTCCAGCATAAGTAGGACTTTTTTCATGGATGGCCGGAGTGATGGGTCGTATTGAATGCACCAAAGCCCAACTTTGAGGATTCTCTCCAGTTTTCTTTTGTCTACCATCTCATCACCGACGAGGTCTTGTAGATTCCCATTGCTGAAGCACATATAAACCCATTCCTCAAGAATGGCCTGATCCTCTGAAAGATTCCAATCAATACTTTTTCGGCAACAAATGATCTCAAATAACACAATGCCGAAGCTATAAACATCTGCTTTCACTGTGATAGGCTGTCTCTGGTGCCATTCTGGTGCAACATACCCCTTTGTTCCTCTAACCCCTGTGTACGTATTTGTCTGGTCTTGATTTAGGAGTTTAGCCAGTCCGAAATCTGAAATCCTTGCTCGGCCGTGCTCATCCATGAGTACGTTTTGAGATTTGATATCACAATGGATGATCTGAGTCTCGCATTCTTCATGCAAATAAAGAATGCCTCTAGCAACATCTCGAGCAATGTTGATTCTGTCCTCCCACCTCGGCCGCATCTCGGGGTTAAAGAGGATGTCGGCAAGGGAACCATTGGTCATATACTCAAACACCAATAGCCTATTTGGTCCATCGAGGGAATAACCCAACAATCGGACCAAATTACGGTGATGAGTCTTCCCAATTGTCCTCACCTCTCTTTGGAATTCCTTTCCTTCTCCACAGTTCTTCTCCAACCTCTTCACAGCCACCACCTTTCCGGTATCATCCAAAGTCCCTTTAAAGACAGTGCTGGATCCCCCTTTGCCTAATTCTTGGGCAAAATTATTTGTTGCTCTAAAGAGATCGACATAACTAAATGTCCGCGGAGCAACATCCTCATCCAGGACAGCTTCCCCCTGCTCTGTAATCTTCTTATAATTCCTATGTTTGCTATGAACATAGATCACCGAAACTGCCATGACTAGGACAGCAGCAACGATGAGGGCAATGCTGATTCCCAGGATGTCTGAACGGAACTGTTTCTTGATTCCGATGCCCGAGGCGTTGGGCGTTGTAGGTACCCCGACCTTGATGAGAGTATAGCTCAAATCTCCCGGGGTTCTTCTTCCGAATCTTAGTGGAGTCCTTTGCTTGGAGCAAACACCATCTTTGTAATAAGCCGCGTCGCAGTTGCAGTCATCTAGACAGGCTGCCTCGCAAGCCTCTTCCGTCATCAAGTTAAGAGTTTCGTAAGGATTGTTATCCCATTCGGTACTCTCCTCTCTTGTAATAGCATACTTTAAACCATTCTTGTCTCCACATGTTTCTAATGTGAAGTTTCTCGCGCAGCCTGCAGTTCGGTTGTCTGCCCGGACAGAGGAGAATCCTGGAAGGCACCTACATTCAGCAGTTTCGTCTTTCAGGAAGCAGAAGCTATTGAAACCACATAGGCCTTTCGGGGCACAATTGTCCACATTGGGTCTCCATTTTACAGTCCAGTTTCCTTCCCGACTCGTCGGGTGAGAATACAGTCGGAAGATTCCATCTGCGTCGATTCTCAGGAGGTAGATCGAACTTTCTGGAGGGTATCCTGTTGTGAGATTTGCCAAAATGGAACTCCCATTCCACAAATATATATAGCCATTGTTCTCGAGGTTTAACGAGACATTGTTGCCTGTACCATCTGTGCGTGAAGCATAGTAAGCAAACTGGTAGGTGTTTTTGGTGTTGATAGGGTATTGTACGAGATTCCCATCACTCTGCATGCTTAGCCTAAAGATGCCTCTGGTGTAGCTATTCTTTGCAGCCATGGAGAACAGTTCCTTGGGCTGCAGAAGCTGCTGACCCGACAGGAGAGTGTCTGTCGGGTAATCAAAGCTCTGCCAAATAACTAAATTGTTGCTGTTGTAGAGCACGAAGTTGCCGTTGTCGAGCATTGAGGCTGCCCCAATGGCCCCCCCGGGAGGACCAATAACCGTGCGCCGGCTTTGCTGTCTATTCTGTACAACAAGAACTAGTGTTCCGTCGCTGGTCAACTGCATAGTGGCGTCTCGCGGAGCTGCAGGATTTTCCGGTGTCCACACCACAGTCTTGTCTTGGATGCCCGCGATGAAGACGCCGATGGCATAGGTGCCGTCATTTGGTGAGAAGAATCCGAAGGCGAACATGCCGGAGGGCGATAGCCATGTCGAGTTTCCAGTGGGTGTTAAGGAAGAATTCAGGGAGATATTTGATCCTCTGTTATATTGGGCAGATACTGCAGACATGGATGCTGCAGTAAAGAAGAGAATTATGAGGAAGAAGGCAGCCATGGAGTCGAAAAAGGCTCGCAAGTTTTCGAATAATTGACACAGGTTCAATCGATCGATCAATCGATGGCAGCCTTAGGTATTTTGTAAGGTACCCTATTCTTTCGGGTTTTAAATTAAGCGTGTTTGGACGAGAATAGCAATAGAGCGTGACGACTTGGTTAAAAAACGAAGGGTCTGGCTTGCAAGGACTTTGAATTTAGCTGTAGGACGACTGCTTACTCCTGTCTATTCTACGAAAATTATTTAATTTGTAGAGAGAGAGAGATAAATGCAGATTGGGACCATGTGTGAGAAAAATCCAGTTGCAAGACTGGACTGGGTCAGGTGGGACAATTAGATTATGACACAACTAATTATGGTGGGGAATGAGAGAATTTTCAACATGGAATATTGTGTCGATTTAAAGCACTATTGACTAGAAATTGTTGCCATTGCACACTGCGGCTATCAAGTAATACATCCTCCAGTCGGGCACAATAATTCATTATAAAAATTAAATAATAATAATATTCTAATATAAAAGTGAAGTATATAAATAAGTAAATAAAAAATGCCATCATTATTCCACGCACAGGAAGTATTATTTTGAAAAACCGTTGGAAGTGTATATATAAATTAAATATAATTAATTATTTTTTATTTTAAAAATATTGCATAGTGTTTGGGAGGAATAGGGTATTTAAGAAAGATACATTAAGGGAGTGTTTTTTTTTTATTTATTTATATCATATTATACAACTATTACAATTCAAAATTTTTATTATTCAAATCTCAACTCAAAATCCAAAATTCTTATTTTTAAGCAAAATATTATTATAGTTATGCAAGATCTATAGGAGAGACTACTTTATATTGATATTTCTTGATTTGTCAAGTCCTTTGTAAACTTGATTATAAATCCGACTCTTTAATTTGAATGTCTTAGTGGAATTGGGCCAACGATATGATAGTAAAAAATTATGTCTTAGTGGAATTGGGCCAACTTGATTAAACAATCCCTATGGGTATGTTAGTTTGGGAGTTTGGATCTTAGATTGAGATTTCAACAGTGTAAAATTTGAATTTGAATAGTTGTATGATAGTGATATAAATATGTATTGATTTGATGTTTTGAATGTAAATTAATTTTTAATATAATATAAAAAATAAAAAATAGGTATTTGATTTGATATTTTTGTGGGGAAAAATTTGTATAAATAGTAAAAATACACACAAATCCTCCAAAGAAACACACCCTTTAACGTTGACAATTGTAACATTTCACTTGGAATTTATAACTTCGTTGTACAACTGGGTTATTGAAATTGGGTTCTATTACCCAAAAGAATATAGCAAACTTTGTTCCTATATTTGACTCGTTATCTGGATTGGGCTTTTGTGTTGATCAAATTATAAACATAAATATATATATATATAAATAATGTATATATATATACGGCGGGGCTACAATACTGAATGTAAAATTTAATATTGTACTAAATAGCACAATATACAATATACTTTAATATATTACAAATACAACACATGATCTAATAGCTCATATAGTCTCATACAACACATACAATACTTAGTTTAGCCCGTAACATACTCTCATACAACACACATTATATTTATGAACTAACAACACATGCTTTTATTACAAACAACACATATTGTATATAATAAAAATATGTGCTGTTTTTATATTTTACGTGTCAGCATAACGCTGATCTTCCAAATTCACCACCTTAACCTTCCCGTATATGTATATATATATATATACCAAGTGTATATAATATATAGCGGATTTAATGCAGTCATTTTATGGCAATAAAAAAATTGAGAGAAACATTTATAATGATTACGCGTGTTTGGGGCTGGACTTATTGGGCTAAAAGTGAAAATAAATTATCCATGGGGCCCATTTACTGTGGCCCACAAAGGCTCTCCTTCATTTCTTTTCTTCTATTTCTTCTATTTATTATTTCAAATAAAAATAATTTATTAGCTCAGAATAAAAATGTATATCTAAGAAAGAAGTATCAAATGACATTTCATGTATATATAAACCATTATAAATGTGCATTAAATTAAATATATATCGATAGCCCAAATATCTCCATTTAAGTAGAAAATTTGAAAAAAATTTAGACATAATAAAAAATCAAATATTTGATTAACAAAATTATAAATTAATATAAATATTTATATATATATATTTTTACTGCTGATAAGTACTATTTATAAAAAATTTAAAAAGGTCAGATATATATATATATATATATGAACAACGTGAAAGATAGCCACATGGCACACCATTTAATAAATATAAGTTTATTGAATCATACATGAATTATATAAAAGTCATGCAATTTTATTTAATATATATATATATATATATTAAACCACCAAAAATTGTCAAATCAAAGTGTATATCTGTTGAATTATGTAAAGATACTATTGAATTATTGTATAAAAAATATGACAAAAACTAACACAATATGTGTATATGTGTATATGTAACATATTTTAAAATGGCTAAATATCGACTTTCAAATAGAAAACATCAAAAGCATTCATCTAATGCATTTATTTCTTGACTTTTAGGTGAGTGCTAAAACCTAAAAAATCGCCATTGACTTTATTATTATTATTATTATTATTATTATTATTATTATTATTATTAAATCAATTGGACATATTTTATAAGATAGCATCATTCTTTGTCGTTTTCATATTATTATTAAGAAAAAAAAGTTTGACATATGGTTCAAATTACCTTAAAAAAGTTTTAAACAATAGCATTTTTACTTTTATTTTTTTACGAAGCTTTGTTATCAAAATATGTGTGTGTATATGTATATGTTTATATATGGTATTGTATTTTCTAATTGTTTTATAGTGGAATTTTGTGATTTTCAGGTTAAACTTTAAAAACTTTTATTGTAAGTGAACCTTAATATTAAATAGTATTCTCTAGTCAATATTTGTTTCGAATACGAGAATTTAAGTGGGTAGTATTAAGTATTATAATTTGGGAATTAGATCATATGATAAAAGAGAAAAACTATATATTTATTTAAGTAATGTGATGAGATAAAATGTTGGGTAAAAATTAAATGTGTTTAATTATTTCATTTGTTAAAAATATTGCAAAATATTTGAGATATACAGATAGAAATAAATCAAACATAAACTTGGTGGATGGAGGATTATTAAAGAGGCAAGTGTGCTTATTTAATGTTTTTAGTTTAATATATATATATATATATTTTATGTTAGGCAAGCATAACATAATAATAATAATAATAATAATAATAATAATAATAATAATAATAATAATAATAATAATAATGATTTTGTATTGAGTTATTTACATTTTTGAATAAATAAAACATATATTACTCATTTTATCCTGTCAAAATATTTTGTAATAAATAAATATTGAATAGAGATAAATAGTTAAACATTAAAAATTTGACTATATCAAAATTAATAATAGATTAGATTCAACTAACAGATAAAAAAAAAGTAAATAATTAATAAAAAAAAAATAAAAATATCCATATTGTGTGAATTTATCTATATATTATATATATTAGTAATATTAATTATAAAGCGTAACCTCAAGAAAGCTTGTTAAAAGTACACACTCAACAAAAAAAATTATTGAATTATGGAGTAATAACTACTAATAATATATTAATAAAGTATAGTAATATAATTTATGAAATATTTACTCAATAATCAGAAAAAAATAATATAAAAAATCTATTAATTAAACTATATGTTGAAAATAAGTTTTGTTATTATTGTTTTAGTTGATATTTGCAAATAAACTACGGGGTGTGTTAGTTTGTAGGATTTTATTTATCCAAAATTTCCCCCCTAAAAACATCAAATTAAATACTTATTTTTTATTTTTTATATTATACTAAAAATCAATTTTACATTCAAAATATCGCATCAACACCTATTTATATCACATCATATAACTATTCAAATTCAAAATTTTTACTATTCAAATCCCAACTCAAAATTTAAACCTCCAAACAAACTGAGGGCTTACGTCAGCGAGGCCAATCAAGAAAGTAGTCCAAAATAGTGGTAATCCAAATTAATTATTGATGATCCACGTTATTGGAAGAGTGATAAAATATGGTCTTCATTGCCACATTGTGCATTCCAAAAAATCGGTTGTAACAAACTTAACGAAGGTAAAAAGAGATAATGGTGCAATAGATTTCATTCGTTATTGAATTTGTTAGGTGGAATATTATTATATTTTAGATTTCGCTTGATGAAAAAAGTGAGTAAAGTGAAAGAGAATTGAGAGAAAAAATCTTAATGTAATCGAGAAAAAGAATTGCGTTTCATTTGCATAGATATGGGGAGATACTTAGATCAATGAGTTGCTAGTGTTCAGGAGGGTTGTGATTTATCGAGAGTTGTAACTCTAATTATAATAATGGATCATCGTACTTTAACTTATTTGATAATGAATATCGTTTGGATTGGAACCCCAAATATAGGCTGGTGTAGCCGAACTACATTAACAATTCTACTTTTGTCATCACCCGTATGTATGTGCATTCGCAGTTTGATCTAAAAACAGACAACCAGATTGTGTTATTCGAAGTTTATGCTTTTGTTCGTAGTTGTGAGATTTTATTGCTGTTTGGTTTTGATCAATTTTTGGATCAATATTATACTCCCTCCGTTCCATAAATATAATCTTAATTTGGTTGGACACGGAATTTAAGAAATATTGATATTATATTGGTAGTTGGTAAAAAAATATGAATAAAAGACTTTTTTGCCCTTGTGAGTGTATTAGTGTAAAAAGTCGCGGTAATTGTGTAATAAAAATAAAAAAGTAGATGTAATTTTATGGTAATATGGTTATATATGGAAATAAGACTATTGTTTTAGGACTGACAAAAGTGGTAAACAAAACTATTATATTGGGACGGAAGGAGTATATAAATTAAAAATATTGCTATCTTATGTTGTCTAGTGTGACTTGTCTTGTCGTACCAAATTTGTAGCCTATTTGATTCGACAAGAGTTTACCTGAGCTCATCCGAAGAGTAGCGCAGCTACGAATTCTTAAATTTTTTATTTTATTTTATTTCTATGGCACTATTCAATTATGTATACACAATGTGCATTTGTACGTAAAGAAATAAAGTTGATGGTTATCAGTACACGCCATATCTTAGAGTTGGTAACAAGC